TGCACATCAACCAAAAAAGTACGAGCAGATCATGAAAACGATCCGTCAGACCCACCGAGCTGGAGCAGTATGGATTGAAGGTCAAGAGTTGCCCATGTGGACGTTCCATATGGACAACGGGGCTAGATGGGGCATTGCAACTACCAACCATGGAGAAAGTATAAATAATGTGTACAAGGGTCTTCGAGCGATGCCTATTTCTGTCATCGTGGAAATGTCTTATTGGAAGGTCAACGAGTGGCGAGTTGCTCGGCTACAGCTAGCTATAGGGAGGGAGTTGCAAGGTCATTCAATAGCACATGACGTATTCGCTCAAATGCAGAAGAACGATGAAAAATCAAGTAAGCATAAGGTTGTTCTTTTTAACCGCAGTGAAGGAATATTCGCTGTCGAAACAGGTATATGGGGTGGAGGGAGACGTGGTCACAATCGTCAAACGGTCAAATTGCACTACGAATTAGGGGAGTGTTCTTGTCAAAAGTATCAGAACGAAAGGATACCCTGTTCACATGCAATGGCGGTTGCTAAGTCAATAACCATGAACAGAAACAGCCTGGTGAGTCCTTACTACACTGAACAAGCGATACGGAACTCATATAATGCAGCTTTGAGCCCCATGCCAGATGAAGCGTATTGGCCTATATACGCTGGAAAGTTGATTATCCCACCGTTGCACCTAAAACGCACCAAAGGCCGTCCTAGAGTTGAAAGGATACACAATGAGATGGATCAAGTTGAACGGACGAGAAGGGGACCGAAGCGTTGCTCTAAGTGCAGACAACCTGGTCACGACAAGAGGCGTTGCCCAGGACAACCATCAACTTAATTTGCATTTACTTGTATTCTGCTACTAAATTGATCGCTTGTTTAATTTTTCATTAACGTTTGCATTTGAAGTGCAAGTATTTTGTTAAATAAAAAATGTTTTCCTTGTCGATACGATCGCGCGGCCGCAAACGGCTCGTTATTTCGACCTCAAACGAATAAGATACGGGCGTTTTAGTTTATAGTACGCAAAAGTTACTTTAACGATACGATCACGCTTTGACGTCACTTATCTCACTCGTTTGGACTCGGAATTGGGATCTGTAAAATTCTATGCGATCGTGGTTGATTTGCCCAACTTTTTTGTGTTGAGGGAAGATACTGATTCTTGATAAAATGATCCAGAAAATTCATTCGACAACTTAAGTGCGTAGGATAGTTTTTAGACAATGCAAACTCAAATAACAACACCTAAAAATCACAAAAACAACATTGATAGTTCACTACAATGATAAAACGATAAATTCACTAATTTGCTTCATTTTGGCCCCCATCTCCACCTCTTCCTCCTCGTCCTCCACGACGTCCTCGACCCCTTCTTCCCCCCTCCGCCGCTGCTTCTTGGCGGGCTCGCTCAACGGCTGGTCGCGGATTTCTCTTGACCCGAGCCCCAACTGGGGTTACATATGGTGGTGGTGGTGGCTGAGTTGGAGCGGTAGCTTGACAAATGATCGGAGTTTGTTGTTGCGGGGTCTGAAACATCGAACTTTGTTGCTGATGTTGGAATTGAGAGAACCCATGAGAGAAAGTGTCCCATTCCTGAGATCCTCCACGACTCGATGAGCCTCCACCGGCATCCGCTGTAGGTGCCCACTGGTACTCGAACGGTTCGGGGAGCTCGGTTTCTTGAGTGGTACGCACCTCTTCGAACGTAGGCAAAGGCCTGCGTTTGCTCCTTCGTGGGGGCTCAACCGGGGGCACAATGGCTGCATCATCACGGAATGAGGGTCTTGCCGGGGCAGGAACGGGAGGATAGGCCACGACATCCCTCCTTTGCTCTCTGGTGCAACTCAGGAGGTTATTCATAAGTCGGGTCAACCAAGTAGTCTTCCGCTCATCCATGGTTGGAGCACTTTCGAGAGTGTACTTCGCGTGTTCCAAACCATCAACCTAAGGAAAGCACAAAATATATCAAATTAACTAAACATTAAAATAAATATATTTAAGAATGAGGGAGATTAGGATGACTTACCACCGAACCCATCACAGCACCTTGCTTTGACACCCATCTCAGGGTGAACTTCCGATACCACTGCATGTACCCATCGTGGTAGCCCATCGGTCTCGTCTCCGGCATCCCTTGCACCACCCATTGGGATCGATTCTCCCAGATGTTGATGTAGAATCCATGCTTTAGCGTCCAGTTTGCATTGTTTCGGAGGTCCATAGCATGTAGCTCCCTAAAACCTGCTGGCGGGTCTTGTGGAATTGGTTGCTCCATTCGATACTGCCTCAGGGATCGATCGGGTAGGTGCCATTCCACAATGTGCCAACAGATCAATGGCACCTTGCACAACCACGTCTCGTGATCCAGAGGGTGCCTAAGATGATGCAGCTCAACCACTTCACGTGGATATGGATCCCATATAACCTAAAATCACAAAAATTCGGAATTAACGACCATTTACCTTGATAAAATTGATCTTGTTCAAATATAGACAAAACATGATTACCTGATTCCACCATGGTTTATCTAACTCAGAACGATAAAACAGTAACGAATGCTCAGGCTGATGGTCATTCGTATTTGCTCCTATCCACCTTGTAAGTAAAAGTACGGAATCAATTTAAATTCAATTTAAATCTTGTCAAATTAATAAAAATTAAATTGGGCTAAGTACGGAAGTGCAGACAATTTAAATCTAGCTGAAGCATGTAATCAAAAGTTAAATTGGGCTAAGTACGGAATAAATTCAATTTAAATCTAGCTCAAGCATGTAATAAAAAGTTAAATTGGGCTAAGTACGGAATAAATTCAATTTAAATCTAGCTCAAGCATGTAATAAAATTTAAATTGGGCTAAGTACGGAATAAATTCAATTTAAATCTAGCTCAAGCATGTAATAAAATTTAAATTGGGCTAAGTACGGAATAAATTCAATTTAAATCTAGCTCAAGCATGTAATAAAATTTAAATTGGGCTAAGTACGGAATAAACTTACTTGACACCGTAGGGGAGATTTTGCAGAAGGTTGAGCTCATCATCGTTTCTCCGGTATGGACGTGGGTCGAGAGGTGCGAACATTGGAAGATGCTCCTATACCCATAGTTGAACGATGAACATCGCAGCACCAGCTTGCTTTGCCCCAACCCTCGAGCAAGTACACAGCTCCCGGTATACGCCCGCTAGCACGGCCGATCCCCAACTCTTCTCTCCAATTGCATCCCAGTCACCGGTGAGCAATGGCAACCATATGCCTTGAATCCACCGGTTGGACTTGTCGGGGAACAAAAATCCACCCACCAAACCGATGAGGTAGATGCGGGCGTAGCGCTCGACTTGTTCTTCCGGTGTCTCGTCATTGATTTCCACCTCTTGCTGGATGTGAGATACCAGCCACGGGACCGACACTTGCCCCGCATTCAACGGTGGATGCCCCCGTCCTTGATTTGGTGTGGTGGTCGGCATGTCGAAGCCCAAACGATCACGGATGAGCGGCCCCCAACCTCCTCCGGGTTTGGTCGTGTTCCCAATGATGGCATCTCCAGATATAGGAAGCCCGGTGAGGATCGCCACGTCTTTGAGGGTGATCGTCATTTCCCCCTCCGCAAGGTGGAATGTATGGGTTTCGGGACGCCATCGTTCCGCCATTGCCGTAAGCAGCTCGTTGTCGATCTCGATCCGCAAGAAATGGCGCAACATTCCCAAACCGGTCCTCGCTATATAGGGCTCCAACCTTGGATGCCAAGCGGGCAAGTTATTGGTCCCTTTATGAACCACGGGAACAAGAGATTCCTAAAAAAAATAGGAAAAACATCAATTAATTAGATTAAATAAAGCAAAATAAAACATTAGAAAATAATAAAATAAAGCAAGTCAGTTCATCAAATTACCGGATTGTTATCCCAAATGGCACGGGAGCGATGCATTTCTTGATCGGTTAAGAGACTCGCATCCCTTGGGCCATAATGGATATACAATCGAGGATCGTATATCTCGGCACCCATCTATAAAAAAGTAATATAATCAGAGATTGTTTTGATAAAAAATAAATCAAATTGTTTCGATTAAAAAAAATCACAAACCAAAAACCTACACGAAGAGCCTCTTCGTCCATTATTGGCGGAAGCCGGACAGAGGTTCGACGGGTTTAGCTTTGTAAGGGACGGGAACTTAGCGGGACGGGGGCTTTAGGGTCAAACTCTAGTAATTCTTTCTAATGTGGAAGATCGGGCTTAGCCGCAACCACAGAGCATACTTAGAACGAGACTAGAGCGGATAAATTGAGGGAGAAAGAAGTGAAATGTTTGTGGGGTGAGTTGAAAGTGAAAGGGGAAGGGGGTATTTATAGTTTGGGGGAAGGGGGGAGGAGCTGCTGCGCAGTTATTAGGGCTCCATTCACCGCGTTTGATGAACGCGGTGAACTCACCGCTTTAACCAAACGCGGTGAATGCAATGGTGACGTGGCGTGCTGTGAGGCGTCGGATCGTGGGAAGAAAACCACGATCCGCGTCTCACCGCATCTAACGGCCACGGTGAAAGCACATTGGCACGGATTGCTGACGCAAACAAACACGGGTTATTCACCGTGTTTGTCTAACGCGGTGAATACCCCGTGCTGTCCACGTCAGCAACTTCACCGTGGCCGACAAAAACGGTGAAGCCTTCACCGTTTTAAACTAAAACGGTGAAGGCATCACCGTGTTAAATTAAAACGGTGAGGTATTCACCGTTTTTAACAAAAGCGGTGAACCCTTCACCGTTTTAGTTTAAAACGGTGAAGTACTCACCGTGTTTGTCAAACGCGGTGATGACCTTCACCGTTTTAGACAAAAACGGTGATGCTCAAACATGTGTAGTTTTGGAATTTTTTTTATAACTAATGTATTTTGGGAATTTTTTTTAAAAACTAGTGTACTTTGGGATTTTTTCCATGCATTGATGTGGATCAGTGGATGCTCTAACAATCAAAAAGGAAAAAATATAAATTTTGTCAGCAGTCACAAAAACTCAAGACACTACCAACAAACAAACCGTTCAAATTATTGAACGAAATGGAATAAAATATTGGGAAAAATTATATATGCTGGCCAGCCAAAGAGGAACGAGAAAAAGAGGTCTTTTTTGGGAGAGAAGAAAAAGAGGTCAATTTGGCAAAAATCTAGGATCAGGGGCCAGTTACAAATTAACAAACACAACGAGGGCCACTGGTGCAAAAGTTACGAACAGGCAAAACTTCAACAACTCTGCCAGATGGTCGCTTCTCTTGCCGGCTGCTGCCGCTGCTTACTCCCCACTCTTCTTCGGCGGTTCCAACTCCGCCATTTCCCCACTCCACCTCCACTCCAATACTCCTACATTTCCCACCAACTCCCTTACCGCCGGCCTTCCATATTGTTCGCCGCCATGAGCTCCGATCAAACCTCAAATCTCGACGATGCCTTCAAGCAGAAGCGCCTCCTCCGATCCAAAGTCCGCAAGTCCCTCAAGTCAATGGACCCTTCTCTCAGATCCCAAGAAGGTTTAGCTACCCACCCTGCTTATCTATTGCATTGATAGGTCCACAGCTCCGACCATTGCTGCCCCACCATTGAAAGTTTCTTCATTTTTTTGATTTGGGGGTTTTGCAGATGAAGCAATTCAGAACATTGTTATGGAAGCCCCATGGTTCAAGTCCAGTCGGAGAATGTGTGCTTATATAAGCTGCAGTGCTCTGCGAGAAGTCGACACATCCAAGCTTTTAGCTCACATCCTCCAGACTCCCTCCTCTTCTGGTGCGCTTTCATTGTTTCATCCTGATATGCAAAGAGTTGATTTTGATGCATATGGCGAGGGAAATTATTCAAATTGTGTAATGGGGTTTTGCTTGTTGTCTTGTTAGATGGCAATTCGAGTGTTGCGAAGAAGCTATATGTTCCCCGAGTAGAAGATAAGAATAGTAACATGAGGATGTTCCTGATCTCAAGCATGGATGATCTGATTGCTAACTCGATGGATATTTTGGAACCGGCTGCTGTTGATCGTAATGGAAACCCAAGGGAAGATGGTAAGCCTAACTAGCCTACTGAAGCTATTATCTTTTTACTATTGATGGTTTTCATTGGAGAATTTCATAGGGCTTAGTGTTTACTTGTAAGCAAACCCTCCATACTGAAATAAGCTTGGTCAGTGTCAGTTGCATGCTATGAAAGGAAGAGACCAGTTAGATCCTGTAACTTTTATTCCTGTATTATGGGGTCTACTCCATCGATTCTTCCTGCATGATGAAGGCTTACTTCAGACTAGAGTAAAGAGTTAAAATGACAATAAGTCGAGAACAGACAATAAATGATGATGTAGGAGAGAGTCAGGGTAAGACTTAAGTGAAAGCCCTTGGTAGATTTACATTGGATATATTTATACGAGAGACACCTTCATTATACCGCTGGCTATAATATCATAGCTCTGCAAATGCCTCTCTCGACAATAGAGCTTTGGTGTTTTCAGCTCATATAGTTGTGTTTTCCCGTATCCGATGATTTCTCTTGGCTTTGCAGTTATGGAATCAGATGAGCCAGCTGACTTGTTCATTTTACCTGGTAATGGTTTCTGTATTCTTCCTCTGTGCCCACTTTTGTTAAGAGTTTCTGTCAGATACTGTCGTGTTTGGAAAACCAGACAATAACATCCTTCATATGTTTCCAGGACTTGCATTTGACAAATCTGGAAGACGCTTAGGGCGTGGAGGAGGGTATGGTTCCTATCAGTATTTATGTACTGTTTTCATTTCTGGAGCAAACTGTCACTCGTTTCAGAGACTTCTCTGCTCAATGCTCACCATAAGTGACAAACTCTTAGCCTTAGGTGCTTTTAATTCTACTCAGCCATTAATATGATAGAAATCCACTTTCATCTACTGCTAGATGGCCTTTTCCATGTGTAATTGTTACTATAAAAGATCATCCTGCTGTATAAACTCAGTGAAAATTGAAAGGCTGCCTAATTTTGTGCATTCCCTTCTTTGCATATGATTTGAATCCAAAAGATACTATGATACTTTCTTGAGGAAGTACCAGCTCCGTGCAAAGGAGAAGAACTGGACGCAACCCTTACTTGGTATTCTATCTTCTACTCATTGTACTGATTATCCAGCAAGTCTGCTACATGCTATCTCACCTGACTTGCTCTGATCCTGCAGTTGCACTCACATATTCTGTGCAAATCATGGAGGAAGGAGCTATATCAATGACCGATCAAGATATACCGGTTGATGCTCTTGTTTCTCCATCTGGCGTCATCCCTATCACATCTGCTGCCTTAGAAAGGTTTAAACTTTCACCTTCTGCTGTCAAGTAAACTGCTTTCTACGTGCCCTTCATAGTTGTGCGATCATGTTTTGATTTGCAGAATGCAGATATAACATTTGACTCTCGGGCACTGCACATCAGGAGAATTCAGCATGGTTATATGGCACGTGGGTTAGATAGATGCTGCTCATGAGAGTTACTTCTGTAGCATGATTTGGCTTTTGCCCCATATACATATAGTTTAACAGAATCTTGAAGGACTGGCCTAGATAAACAAAAACATCTGGGCTACCCAAAGTGTAGTTCAAAGGGATTTGCTTTCGGTCGCTTGATTTATGTTATATCTTTGAAGTCAGATACTTTAGTTAAGATTCACTTTTCTTCTCTAGCTTTTTCCCTCCAGATTCTACGACTAGAAAGTCCAATGAACCAATCCAACACAACTGAATTTGTCCAATTCCGATGTGTTTAACTCTGTAACTAAATCCTATTAGTGAAGCTCTCACAACGCTTAGTCCCTTCGAATCTGCAACTTTGAAAGAAGTGATCCCTGAGTTTCAAAGATCCATGATAACATAAGCAACATCGACCACAATCCCCTCCAGCTAATAACCCTAGTGCATGTGGAGAGGTGACCCAGTAGGCAAGAACTATTAGCCAAGCCACAGAACCGTTCCTCAAAATCCTCCTATTTCTAATCCTTCTACTTAAGGGGCAAAGAGAAGCGCTTTTACTACCGGTCAGCGCGAAGGAAAAAGACTTCGCCGAGCGTCATTCTCATAGTGAGGCGCTTCGACCCTCTTCGATCGAACCATCTCAAACCTCAAGTCCAAGGTCCATCAATCAGAAAGAAACTTTCCTGCTCTCCAGTGTCCTCCCTCCATGATCCACGCCCTGCTCCATGTTTAAGAGAGCCGGAAGTTTTAGATTCCGTAAGTAGTTAAGTAAACTAAATATTCAACTATCACCAACAATAGCGCATCTAGTGTAGTGGTATCATAGTACCCTCCCACGGTACTGACCGGGGTTCGATTCCCCGGATGCGCAGTTGCCTCTGTTTTTTCATTATTTTATTTTACATTCCTACCAGCACAAGAGACGAATTGTTCATCCATTGCTGATGCAAACTCTGGTGCAACCACTTTCACCTCCTCTGACTTCTTCATCCCTCGTGTCATGACAAAACTTCAAAATCTGGTTGCCCCTTTTTTGCTGCAGTGTAAAACCACGTGTAAAACCCTAACCAATACCGGAATAACTCAAGTGTAGAGATATGAATCTTGAGTTGAAATAAGCCCCGGGATTAGGTGGCGAGTTAACTTCATTCATGGGGAAGACATTATTATCCCTAACCCATGGCGACCATTTCAACCCAAGCCGCCAAAACAACCACTTCACCATCTCCCTCTCTGCATTTCATTACATCATCATGCTCATTTTTGCAGTGCTCCCCTTTCGACAAATCCGCTTCTTATCCAACTTGCGTGCCTCCCACGTCACACCCCTCCCCTGTTTCCAGAAAATCCAGAGAAAGATTTAGTCTTCGGAAACCATCAGGAGCTATCAGTAGCAGGTAAAAATCCATTCCTATATATATATATAAACAAACAAAAGCTCCCATCTTTTCCATCTCTTCAAGTTGTTGTAGCTCCCCATTGATCATCACCATGATGAACTCACAGCCAACTCCCCTGCTCTGCATCACCACTCTGTTTCTACTTCTCCTCACTACCAGCACCACTTCCTCTGCCGACCCTGAACCTCTACAGGACTTCTGCGTGGCGGATCTGCAATCCACCACAACCATCAACGGTAAATTTCCGTATTAGTATTAAGAGTTATTACAGGAGTCCGTCATTTTGTACTATGTACAAACCCCTGTATGGTTTCCGTAATAATACGCAATAGTTTTCACAGGCTTCCCTTGCAAGCCCGCATCACAGGTAACCTCCGACGACTTCTTCTTCTCCGGGTTCACGAACGAGGCGAACACGTCGTCCAACGACTTCGGCTCGTTCGTGACCCCGGGCAACGTCGAGGCCTTCCCAGGGCTCAACACCCTGGGGATCTCGATGAACCGGGTCGACATCGCGCCCGGCGGAATCAACCCGCCCCACCACCACCCGCGGGCCAGCGAGGCCGGGGTGGTGGTCCAGGGGCAGGTCCTGGTCGGGTTCGTGACCACGGCCGGGGTGTACCACTCGAGGGTTCTGGCTGCGAGCGAGATGTTTGTGATTCCCAGAGGTTTGGTTCATTTTCAGCTGAATGTTGGGATCGAGAAGGCGATTTTGATCACGTCGTTCAATAGCCAGCTGCCTGGTTCTGTGGTTGCTCCCTTGGCTCTGTTTGCTGCTGAGCCTTCTGTGCCTGACAGAGTGCTGGCCAGGTCATTCCTTGTTGGGGAGGATGTTGTGAGAAGCATCAAGGCTAAGTTCAGGTGATCAACTGTGTGTGTTCTGAAACGGCATCTGGCGCGGATTGGTGTAAGAATGTGTTTATACGGTTGTATCGTTTTAATATCCACGATTGTTGGGTACTCGTTGATGAGTATATACATATTATTACTATTATTAGTTATTGTCGTATGTTTTGGGGGATTCGGCTACCCTAGCCAACTAGGGAAACTAATTAGTATTATCATAGGTTTAGGGATAATTATAGTAATGTTAATGTTGGGTTAGGATTCGTAGGGGTTTGGGTGGAGTGGCGGCCAAGCTAGTGGCCGAATAGGGCTAGGTTCGTATTAGGTTTTCTCGTACTTTCTTATAAATATGTACTTTGTGGTTCAGTCTTGGAAATCAATGAAGAAGAAAACCCCTAATTTAGTTGTTTTAGTTTATTTATCGTTCTTGTGCTGCGATGCTTCATCCGTCAATGCATCACTCTTAAGTAACGATATTTATATGCGGATCCACAAGTAACGTACAGAAATTTGTCTATTTTTCCTTTGTGTAAAATAGAAGTTTCGTGTTGTTATTTTGACTTCATCTGTAATTTGAATTTTATATGTACCACATATTTACAAAATTCAAACAGAGTGAAAATTGGTGAAAATGACTTATCTTTATATAAATAAAAATTATTGGAGTACTCTTTCTAAATTCTCAGCTTAGATTTCTTCTGTGAGTTAGTCAAATTACTGCTCTTCTTTATTTACGAATCCAAGTACTAATAGTTGTTGAACTAATGTTAATATTCTAATCACAGTTTGATTTGCTAATAATCACGGAGGTGGTTAATCATAAAATAGCTACTGAAATCTATTAAGGGATCTGACTAGGAGGTTATGAAATGTTTTTACTTGAAGAAAGATGCTTTGTGATATTTGTTGGTGTAAGGTTAGGTGTGGTAACCTCAAATCTAGAAATTCACGAGGTTGTGAAATTGTATCGCAGGTTATATCGAAAAAGCTAATAATAGAGTATTTTATACTAAAATCGTGATGTAATTATGGTTCAACAATTTCATATCTTTAAAACCGTTTGCCATTTGGAAACCAAAATCTGGTAATTTCCAATTAAAGTACGTTTTCTAAAACATTGCTATTTACCACCCTTACCATACTTCTAACGTATTTCATACAACTAATATCCTCGTTGTATTCTCAAATTTTGAATGTTTAACAATGTATTTCGAAAAATCAAATGATTCCACAAATACTTGGTTGAACAAAATTCAACTATTCAAATTGCGTATAAATAGTCACATAAAATTTAATATTTCAGGTAGAAAGCAAATTTGTTCAAGTATGCCGAACAAATATTTAGCTAGCACAAATTCAAGCGTTAAAATAGAGAAGTAAGATGTAAAAAAAGAATGCTTAATTTGGTGCGAAAATCAGGTTAAAAGATATTGAAGATACTAGACTGCATCTGCATCAGCCCCTGGCCCCTGCTCTCAAAGAGGCAAGAAGATCAGCTGCGTAGGCTGATTGCATTGAAAATGCACAAAGGCCAAAAACTACCCATTTTTATCAGATTCTATACTGATACTGTCTTTCCAAACCTCTCTTTACTGATGTTTTAGTGCAACAGAAACTGCCCTTCCAAACCTCTCTCTATTGATATTCTAGGCAACAGCTGAGATATGGAACTCCCAAGTCAACTCCCCCATTGAAAACAACTGAAATCCTCTGTACAATGACTCCTTACCGCTTGCGATTGCAGCAATCTATTTCCAGTACAACTGCCTCCTTGCGATATATACTCATGGAAACAAGAACAGAACTTGCCATCCCAATCGCTCCGTGTCCCTAGTCCCTATATAAGGCAAGTTGCTGATCTGCAGTGATTTGCAGTATCCCTTGCTCGTAGCGCAACTAGCATCCAAGGGGAGCTACTCCTAGGGTTTGCGTCGACAGCTGACATCCTGTGCTCAAATGTCCTACAGCATCAGGACATGTTTCCGAACCCAAGGCCGAAGGGCTTGATTCATTTCCAGTACAATGGTGTCGGGTACAGAAAAGCGGTTGCTGTCGTAGCTTTGGCAGATTATGATCTGTTTATGTAGTAGCTAAAGCAGTCTTTGGTTCTAAACCCAACAAAATCCTTGATGAAGTCTTGGCCAAGGGTTTCCTAGTTGGGGATGATGTAATTCAGACCTTGGAACACAATTTCAGTACTTGATATCACTATTTGGTGGGGGGAAAAAGAAGCTTACAAAATTCCATTACAGTTTCACCATTTGCAAACTGAATTCACTATGTTTTATCAGGGTTTTTGAATCGGTGAATCCGTGAGTATGATACACAATGAATAGGGGGGTTTTCTACACATGATACAAGATTACAAACTAGAGTATTCTCTCGCAACTAGGTAGAGAGAAAGGAAAACATATTCAACACCATTTATATCAATAATGAGAACCAAAGAAGAACAAATCTATAGTTGCTTGCTTCATGATCATGACGACCTTTCAAAACCCCCACCAACCTGCATGTGTAGCCATTCCGCTTGTGGTCCTTGCACGTATTCCCTCGTCGCTTGTTGTCCGAACATCATCCCAGTAGCATCAAATGGATGGCCGCCGAGCTACAGAAACAGAATGAAATGTCTGAGAGCAAATGACCGAGAAGAGTTTCTAGTCTCTGTTGAGAATCATGGGAATCATATTCACGGTTTTCTACGCAGGATTAGAAGCAGATGAGCAAATTAAACAGAACCACAACAAGTTTTCGGATTGTTTGTCTTTAGCTAATTCTAAAACTCCATATCTGAAATTCAGGGGAAAGAGTTGGCAGTATATCTGCAGATTCTCGTACATATTGATACAATGGATAAAGATAACAAGCAATGAGGCAAGATAAAGGCTTTATATCAAAGACAAGACAAGCTTGTAAAGAAAATGCAACTCTTGGTGTGGGCTGCATCTAGAATACAATCTGCCATTTCAAATGATAACCTTGACCTTGACCGCTTAGGACTGTAAGAACACAGATGGTAACTGATATTTAATGGAAAGTTCTAAACATACAAGCTACATGGAAGTGCTACAAAGGGATGGGGGTCACTCAATCATGGTGTCCTGTTTAGTAACCTTTTCATGCAAGCCCTCTACGGGGTCGGGCTGGTGCAATCTGGTTCAAACGGACCAAATATACATAGAATCAGATAAAAAAATATCAAGGAAACTGGGGACCAGAGTCAAATTTAAAGTGCATTTGATCCGATCCAGTCATATCATGTTTCGATTTGGTCCGCCTTTCTCTTCGTTTGTCAGAAAATCAATGGAACCAAACAAGGATAGGCTCCAAATTTGGTAATTGAATGATATTTGGTTCAGTCTGGTTCAATTTAAATGTCAATGGTCACAGAGATCATAGGTTAGTGCCCACTAGGGCATCAATTCTACACATCAGAAGATCCCATAATTTCCACAAGCAAATGTTGAGATTGATTGATCAACTGATATAATAGCACTTGTAAAAGTAGACTTACATCTTTAAGATGAAAACCCTCCATGGCCGTGTTCATGCCCATCCTCGCATTTACAGTTTCTAGCTTCATCGATAGGAACTACATAATCAAATCCACAAAGAGACCATGTTTCAGATTGAACAGAGAGCTAGGAAACTCGATTTATGCTAAAATCTGCACTCAGGGGACAGAATCAAGTAGTAATACCTCAACCTGCCGTTGTAAGGATTGAACATAATTTATGATCTCATCAAGTACCAGCGCCTTGCCAATTATCTGAGAGAAAAATCAAGTAGATCGATGCTTAAGAAATGCATTCAAGAAGTTCAGAAATGAACGAAAGCGTAACACAAACCAAACTCGAAAATACTTCTAAACTTGAAACCCTAGTTAAGTACCTTGTTACAACCAGGCACCAAATCCTGAAGTAACTTCATTCTCTCACTTATCTTTTCTCGCCTCGCCTGTCAAAGCCAAAGATAGTGTAAGTAAACTGCTTTAACCATGACCCAAGCTCCTCAAATTTGAGCAAACCTAGCGAATTAGGAGGAGTGCATTACTCTTTCAGCAAGACTGTGGCTATCAGTGGCTTGACCCCTTCTTGCTCTCACATGAATGAAATCTTGCTTAGGCGGCTCAGAGGGTTTACTCTGATCAGCTGCCGTATCAGTGGCAGTAGAATTTGGCTCAGCTCTAGAATTACCAGTTTCATTTCTGGACCCTGATTGCTTCATCCGTTTATTCTTGGAATCATTCTGGAAGAAGAAGAATTAGAGCAGAGAGATAAGTCATCTGGTTGATTCAAAAAAGTACAAAGTCGAGTGGCCAAAATTCATTTCAGCTTCAAGGCCAAAAGCAAAATCATGGGCAAGTCGGTTGAAGACAAACAAGTCATTGCTGTAATGCTGTTCCCGTCCCCATCTTGATTCCACATAAAGCCATAATTTTTTTCAAATCATTACATCACTTTGATGAAAATGGCATAATATAAACAACTCTCGCAACATCAAATTTGCTGGACATAACTAAGGGAAACCCAAATCCCAAATCTTTTCAAATTTCCCACAAAAAGAAAAAAATTGGATCCAAACGAAGAAATAACAGCAGGGTCAAACAGCAGGGGAAATTCAAAATTGGGTAAATTGTGAAGAAGATAAGCAAGAGAGAGAAAGAGAGGGAGTAGCAGAACACAGACCAATTCATTGCCGCTGCTAGTAGTAGAAACCATCCTAGAAGATTCATCCTCGGAGCTGAAATCCCTCCGCTTCCTGGCATTCCCGGCGGCGGCGACGGCGGCGGCGCCACTATGGTCCGTCACCGAGGATTCCTCAGCGGACCCATCTGGGTGTCCAATTCCAAACCCAATTGCAGAGGCTAAATTGCCCACTCGGAGGCCCAACCCAGCAGCACCGGCTTCCACATTGATCCCCTGAAATGGCCAAATCTCCGCCAAACTGTAGGAAGAAGGGTTGGCAGCGGAGAAAGACGACTCGTTTATAAGCGGGGGATCCATAATATCATTCCGGCGGGTCTCATTAACTGAAATTCCGGTATCCGGGTGGGTATAGCGGAGGTGGGGATCCGAATGGTGTGAGGATTTGCAGAGGAAAAGAAAGAAAGCACGAAAAGGGAAAGATAAGGAAACTTGTGCTGTTTGCTTGTTTTGGGCTCAAGGAAGAGAGAGAGAGAGAGAGAGTGGGTAGTGAAGTGGAAGCTTTGATGGGTTATTTAAGAAGTTGTGATTTCACTGAGGGCGGAGGGAGGCTGACAGAGAGACGAGGTGGGTGGTGGTCGCAGATGCAGACTAGCAGAATGATCCCTTTTTCTTCCACTCTTTTATTAGCCTTGAGAAGTGGGGGAACTTGGTGCGCACTGCGCTCGCTGCGGCGCACGCTACTGTTCTTGATCCGGCTAATGGTTGATTGGTTTCCAACTTGATCGAATTTCTGGTTACAAATTTTTTAGGGATAATTTCTTGTTGCTTTGTTTATATAGGATACAGTGACAGGTAAATCGGGTCACAAGTCGATGAGGTCATACACCGATCAATTTACAAGTCGGACAAGTTATGAATTTGTTATAATCTTGTCAGCTTAATTAAATGGCAAGCGGGTTGGATGAGATTAATCAGTTTAGGGTTAAATTTGGATGGTTTTAGACGGGATTTTTGGCTTACCGGCGCTAGCCCCCTACGCTCTAGTACTTTTGATATTACAAACTCATCAGTTAAAAACTTTACCGCACGAACCTCTCGACATTTCGTTCGTAATAAATAAGTCTTAGTTCGTCTATTGTATTCTCGACAGAGAGATCAAAAGCTCCAAACACTATTATAAAAATGTTGATACATAATTACACATTGGATGGAGGTGGACTTGAAAGAGAAAAATCTAACTCCCGTATGAGTTAAGACTCATTGTTTGCTCAAGAACAAATTCGAACTTCGGTAAACATGATAATTAAATCCTTAATAGAAAATTCGTAATCCTTTCTAAAGGCGCTAGTACAGCTCAATTCTTGTGAGTTATTTGGTTGTGGTATTTCATAAATTAGAGAAGAAAAAGTATTAGCAAAATGAGTTATTTCGATTAACTCCTAGCTAATTTGTCACATTTTTTCATTGCCAGAATAATTCTTTCGACCGTAATAACTATAAGAACAAAATAACTGATTGAAATAACTCACCTAAACAAATCGCTAAAGCTTAGCAACATATTTTGTTACATAAGGCATAGCTGCCCCGGGGTGGCATGCCATAATTTTACAAGTTCACGTCATGACCTGAATATCAAAATTATTAACAAATCCAAGAGAGAAAAACAATGATGATTAGGGGCCGTGTTTAATAATTAATCTTCCCACTTAGATTCAATAATAATAATAATAATGGGGATCACATGTTCTGTGGACATATTAAGCAGAAACTGCTACCTCCGGAGCTGACAATTACAACCTCTCGGGCAATTTTCTTTTCACCTTTTGTTTTTGCTTTGCATATAAACCGAAAGGGAAAAAAGAAGTAGAGGAACAACAAATAAATAACAGATTGCGCATCGATCCCAAAAGAGACGAAACAGTTAGTTTAATCACTGCACGGAAGTAGGAGTAAAATGATCACTAAACTTTGTTATTTGTAACCAAATGGTGACTTAATTTCAGCAAGCAAACAACTAATCATCAATCTTTTTTCGTGGGTAAAATACCTCGCGTACCACTTAAGTTTGAGAACTGGGGCAGACATACCACTTAAGTTTGAATAGGGCGTCGGGTACCATTAAAGTCGCCAAGATGTGTATCCGTCTAGTTTTTCATCCAACCCAAAATTTTAATTACTTTTTGGTACCCAAAACTTTTGAAAACATCCAAAACTATATTTCAACAAGTTTTTATCAAATATAGAAATTAAAAAAAATTCTAAACATAATATTACTAAAATGACTAATCAAAATTGACAATAAAATAGATAAATTAGTAAAAATAAAAAATAAATATCAAGAAGAAGAATAAATATATAGAATATAATAATAAATATTTAAAATCAATATTAGAAGATCTATTTAAATTGCTAATCCAATTAGAAGTACTATTAAAAATAGTTAAAATAGAACCAAGTCGATCATAAATACATCAAGACCAAAGAAGGATAAATGGAATCGAGTCAGAAAGAATTAAACATATTCCAATAGTTGAAGAAAATTTAGAACGAAAAGAGAACGGAAGTAACCAAAATTCTAGTAATAAAATCTACAACATTCCGTAACAAATCTAGAAAAGAAAATACCACTATAGAAAGAGAATTATAATTAGTAAATTTAATTAATATGGAACATCTAAAATATAATATTAGAAAATTACGAGGATATTTAACATAGAAAGTTATACAACACCAGAATGATGTACGAGAATTAAATATAACATCCTCAGATGATTTATATCGATATATAATTCATAGTATATATTTGCTTCAGCAAATTATTCGATTATTATAACATATAATGGTAATTAAAAATACTTATAATGATAATTGATACTACATTTCCTATTAAAAAATTGGTTTGGTATCAAAGTCTTCAAAAGAGGATTCCAACTAAATAGAATTCATAGGATATATTTGCTTTAGAGAATAATTCAATTATTAGAAAATATAATGATAATTGAAAATACTTATAATGATAGTTGATTCTAAATTTTCTATTCAAAAATTAATTTGGTATCAAGTCTTCGAAAGAGAATACCAACTAAATAATAAAAATTGATGTTTTTTATAAGTCAAAATGATTTTTTACAATAAGAAAAGTAGAAGGACCAATTAAGAAATTTAGAAAACAAAATATTCCAAGAATATTCTGTTAACTTTAACGGTCTGCACCTAACATTAAACTTAAGTGGTATCGGGTGCACAAATAATAGAGTTCAGTGGTATCCGACGCCCTATTCAAACTTAAGTGGTATGTCTGCCCCAATTCTCAAATTTAAGTGGTACCCAAGGTATTTTACCCCTTTTTTCGTCCGACAAAAAAATGGTCACTCCATCTGTATCCATTGGTGTATCGATATTTATGATGCACAGATATAACTACCTAATACCGATAATATCTTCCGAACATCCACATTCTTATATCATTGAAACTAGTTTGTTGTCCGGTCCGTTGGTCGGAATGTTTGAATACAATATACGTGTGATGTATATTTAATTTTTTTAAATTACTTGAAATATTGAATTTCGTATGACAATAAGGTGACATCGAAATTATTTTTTCATTTTCGAAATTCTTATAACTTTTCATCAATGATGAACATTGTAAGCTTAATTGTTATAACCAAAGTTGTCAAACCGGTTTAAGTTGTTGAGTCGGACAAGCAAGTAGTTTGAAGTTTAATGGTTTGATTGAGTTCCAACCTGTTTGAGCCATTTTACACCTTTTAAAATATATTTACATATAAGATATAAATTTAGTGACTGAAATGGGATGTAATAACTTATATCTATTAAAAACTCAAATTCCATAAGAAAACATACTTATATCAACTATCAAGATCCACCCACCATCCTCTTACCTCTCTCCCTCCCTCCCCCTTCCCTCTCTCTTCTTCTCCCTCTCTAACGATCAGACACTTGGGTTTTGTGGAGCCCGTTTTGGAACACGACTTTGGTCGGACCTAATCCAACCAGTCGCCCGGTAGAGGTGTAAATAGACAAGTTATGAATAATCATTCATAACTTGTCTATTTAATGTTGTAGTCACTTAGTTGCCTATGGCTGAAAAGAAAATTACATAACAAAAAAGGAGTTTGTCTGAAAAAGCGTAGTATAAATAGAAAACTCATGATTATAACCTTTATTCAATATTTATTTCTTATACTTGAGAAACAATACATATATAACAGTATCTAAACCTTAAAATATTCTGCACAATACAATAACAAAATTAGTAAGAAAAAAATATTTTTCATCCATACTCTATGAAATGAAAAAATTATTTATCAACCAACATACTCTAAGTACAATCTTATCACTCAACAAAAAAATTAAACCTATATTATGGTACCTACTTTACTAATGCACATGATCACATCAATGCGTCCATGAAAACTCCAGCCCGACTTTCATGATTTGTCTTGTAATGGGGTTATTTCATATTAAACTAAGTAAATATGAATGATACAAATGATCAGTTACCCTATATGATAAAAGATTTAAATAATTGAAATCATCTAGAAAAATTGGTATTCAGAAATTGAGTTCGTTTAAACTCACTCATTTGTCCAATCATGCCATATTATCAAGAGAGTGAGGATTTAACAGTAAACCAAACTAAAATTTTCAAAAACTGGTCACTTACAGTTTGCATAACAAAATTGTTGCTTTAATAGTTCTAAAAATTAATACCAAGTTAAGAATTCTACATCATATCTACACATTCAATACTGCAATTCAATATGTAATATTCGAATAAATGATATTTGGGTTTCAATTTTAAAATTATCCTCCATTTATAAGATAGACATAAATTAAATTTATTATTAAACTCAAATTAAAATAATCAAACTATAAAAAATTCAAATATCAAATATCAAAGAAAGTACTTACGAGAAAGTTAGTGGGCTAGCAAACAGTAATGGAAAAGTTATATGAATTTTAGATTTCAGGTTTTCAGATTTTTTTACTTAAAAAGATACAAAATATTTCTTTTGCGTAATTGGTAATGATTGTTGTCTTAATTTGGAAAGACCATGGTTCAAATCTTGAGATTGATGCATTTTCATTCTTATAAATAAAAAATAAATAATGATTGTGAAGACACAATTATCCTTCCTACTTTCGCTCTCGCTGCAGGAAATTTGAAGTGCTGAAAAACTGGCAAACTCTGCTGTAATATATTTGTAGATACTCTCTACGTTATGTCACATGACTAGTAATATTAAAAAAATATCGGTACCACATAATTGTACCGTTCGGTTGTGCCAGTTGAACCGCATATTAGTGACGAGAAGGCAAGTTTATCCCAAAATGCAATTTCACTAATATTCTTTCTTAACCCTTAGCCTCCCCTATTCAATCCTATTACGAGCATAATTTCACAACAAAACACACTCCTAAGTCGTCGTGGATCAACAATTAACTACAAAAACACTATTCTATCACTCCTCAATGGCCACTCAATTATATAATCAATGATTAATTGATTTTGGAAGACACATACCCGATTTGCCACTAAATCATCCACCACCTAGATTTGGATTGGAATGCCAAAAGAGGCAAAATTTCAGACGAAACTTCAGCCAACGCATAAGCTATGACCTTATGACCCAGAAGACGATTTAATTAATTGAGCTCTTAATTGAGTTTAGGTGTTAATCATTTAGGACCTTAAACACATTTTAAGGTTTGAACTATAAACTACCTACCATTCAACTTGCTAGTAGTTGTCAAAGGGCTAGCTGTCGATTGGAAACTAATCTCACTTTGCCTAACCTTTCTTCTTCTTCTTCTTCTTCTTCATAATATTCATTGAGAGTTGTTTCTTTGAAAATGGGCTGTAAATTGAACACAGATTTTTTTCTTCAAAACAGTGACTTGAAGAACACACTCGCAGAAAAGTCAAGTAATTGCCGGCTGGACAATTTGCCTAACATGCCCATAAAAGAACACTAATCCAAGGGGAAGTGCAATTTATCACAGGAAAGCTTCCTTTGTGGGTTTCCTAATTGAGATGGGAAATGGGAACAAAATTCATGTGAGTGTGTTTAGTAAAGGTTTGGTGAATGTTACTCTTCCATGTCTTAATGGCTCTCTCTCTCTAATCTTTCTCTATATGGGTTTTCTCTTCTTTTGGTGAGAGAGACAGTCTCCTTACTCTTTGGAGGGAGGGGATTATAAAGGCAAAAGGGAAACGAGATTTTCTAGTTTGGGGTTTTGAAACGTGCTCAAAATCAGGGGTTTAGGAACTAAAAATATCTTTCCATGGGTATGTGTCATTGACAAGTTTTCCCCCCTTCTTCCTTTCTTGACTGTCCATATCTCATCCTTTTGCCCTTTCTTATCATCTCTTTGTGATCTATGTGCACATGAATACCTAATTAGTGTTTTTGCCTTTCAAGAGCATACAACCAAGGCCTCAAATTAAGACAGGGATATGCTAAGTTCAGATCAACAAGCATGGATGTGTTGTACAATATAGAGATCTTCTTCATCGTCGTCAGGATGAAGTTTGACGGATGATGATCAGAGAGGCGACGACGAAGATAATTTCTAATGGAGCAGAAGCGGCGGGCTCTGGCTCTATCGAAAGAGATGTGTGAGAAGAAGGTAGAAGGGAAGTGTCAAGGAAGACATACCGGGGGTTTGAGGGCGGGGTATAAAGGACTTCATACCTTCATACTACAGTACACAATTGTCATATCGAAACATATGGTCACAATTGACGTAAACGGCAAAGTACGAGCCCTTTATTGATATAAGACTTTTCATTCCAAATTTTCAATACTATTTTTCTTTATTTTTATTGTAATATGCATATGGCGGTGGACCTTCTAAAACATGTATGAGTTCAATCTCGAACTGCTTCATGATATTGATGCTATAAGGAGATGAGGATTGTTGTGAGCCTGTGACTGTTGAGTAAACACATTTGAATATGAAATTTTAGTTTTCAAGATTCTGTAGTTTCGCTCGCTAAATGTGGCGTGCTAAGTACCAGCTTCACTAACTGGAAAGACTAACTGATATTCACCAGATCTCCCGGCATTAATTCTTATATTTCAATGGTTCTTTTTTTTTATTTCCTTATGTACATGGTTTATATTTCAATGGTTCTTTTTTTTTATTTCATTATGTACATAATGATTAACTGATTAAGTACATTTATTCCCGATATGTAAAAATCTCTTAGATGATGCTTAGGTATGGTAACAAGTTGGATTGTGGTAGATAGTGACTATCCTTACTCTACTATAATTAATTCGAGTTTTATTTATACACATATCAATGTAAAATTTGGGTAGTAAATTAAAATGTGTACATACCCAATCGAGTTTCGGGTATTGATGAATATTCTCAATTAATAATTTGTCTTTGTCTTCTCAACTATTGTGTTACTAATCATAATTATATTAACATTACAGAAGTGAAAAGTTATAAATAACAATCAGAGAAATAATAATAAAAGAACACTGATTTATGAGGCAACAACATACTAGAAATATTGAATATGTTAAAACTAAAAATGACGAATTATACAAAGTATTATTTGCATGTATAATCAGTCGAGTTCAATTATTAACCATACTGTAAGCTATTTATTTAATTCGAACTTTATCTATCCAATCGAGTTGGTATAAGGTGGAAAGGCAGGCATCCGTGATTGACCGGTATTTTCGCCATCTTGTGCCTGATAGAGAGGAATGAGATTAGATGCTAACCTCTAAATGGGTTAGCACCATACTAACCACCTCTCTAATCGTCAAATTAAAATATTAATCTAAGAGTCAGAATTAATCAGAGGTTATTTTAGTCAGTTCCTTCATTAATTTTCGTAAACAAAGAAACTCTCGCCGCCTCTCTTCCGTCCTGGCTCCTCGGCTTCTCTCTCACAACTCCCTCTACAAGAAAATGACTTAGTGCCTCCCCCCTCTCTCTCTACCACAAACCGCTCCCTACTACTACTATCAATATTTTGTATATCTAGAATGGAGGTCGAGGTCGCTGCTGCTTTCTACCGGCGAGGATCTGGTTCCCCTGCTATCCCTCACCACCGTTGGAGGGTACGATGCATCTGGTTTCACTGTTGAACAGATCAGAACCCGGATCTTGTTGATCCGTCATCATTTCAGATCGCCGTTAATGGTGATAGCGGTGTTGGGCCCATAGTTGAGCAGTGTTGGACTTAATGCCCATAGGGGGACGACCAGGCAGGGCCCGAAGAAGGGACCGGGCCACAGCGAGAGACCCAAAAGAGTGGACATAGGGAAAGGAGAACGGCAGGCGGCCACCCTGCGACGTGACAGGGAGTAGGCCGCCCGACACAAAATACCATTGGTGTTAGGAAGAGAAGATCCTCCTATGATACTTACCTCGAATACTGTAGGACTAAGCATTAAACGCCCGCCGCGGGCGGTCTAGATAAAGCAAGGCATATCTAGGCCGCTTGACATGACATTTAATGCTTCATACTCAAACTAGCCGACTATAAATACATCGATATATGCATTAATAGTAACTCAACTGCTCTCTCTAACCGCCTGCGACATTCCAGACTCAAACAAGCGGGATAAGGGCGACTTAAAATTGGAGCCAATGAGGAGGCTCTTTCTTTCTTTCTCCCTTTTATTTGAAAGATTTGATTGGAGAGATGGTGGTGGTCGGGCTCCTTGCTGGGTTCAGAGAGCCTCTAGTTGGCCTGCTAATGGGTTTGGGAATTAATGCAAGGCGACCTCGATCGGGATGGAAATTAAACTAAGCAGATCTGCTATAGATCTCCTTTGATGTAGTAGTGATTATATGTGTTGATGTAGTAGTGATTATATGTGTGTATTTAGTAGTGATTTGTCAAGCCGTGATTATTCTTGTGAATATTAGTATGTAGTAGTCATTTTAAGTAGTTTTTCTTATAGCAATCACCGTCTTTTGTTCATTATTAGTAGTTTTTTAAATACGTAAAATCACTACTATTACTCACAAAAACACTACTAATATAAATCATCCATCACTATTAATTAAAAATCATTAAATCACTACTACTAACAATTAAATCACTACTAAAATAAATCACTACAAAAAATCAATAAACCGCTACTATAAACAGCCAAAAATATTATTAATCTAAGTATTAATGAATTAGTGGTAATTTTCGGTAAAAAATGGATAGTAAAAACAGGAGAGAGAAAATTAAATTTGATTTTAAGTAATTTATTTTTTAATATTTCAAAATACCAGATAAGCCCTTCATTAGCACGTAGAGTTAGCATCCTAACTTCTCCCGCGGTACTGCCTTAGGTCATGTGAATCGGTTGGGCTCTAGATAGCAGCGTATGTTAAATCATTAAAGCCCACTCATTTGACCAAAAACCTGGATCGGCCCAAGATAAGGTAAAATTGAGACGAGAGCCTCCGAACACAATAGTCGTCTTGTTCCTTTTCCTTTCGTCACTCCAATTCTAAGAGTCCAATGTAGGACTACAGAGATGGTGCCACACTCCCAGCTGACATGCACCACAACATCTCTCAAACATAGCTGTCAACCAAAGACTTCCTCATCTCATCCACAATGGCACTGGGGTGAGCTTCCCTCAACTTGAAAACGCTCTCGATAACAGACAGCTCTGTCGCCGTAGTGTATGAGCCACAGAATGCTGTCCAGTCATTCACCGTCATCCCTGCAGCTACAGTATCACTGCCACGGTTAACTGTCCCGGCAACCAAGGGGACCTGGAGAAGGGTGGAAAGCTCATCAAGCTCTTCAATGGTAGTGTGGGGGTGCACCTGCAGTTTTGGTGCAAAATACGAGATCATGTCACATATTGTGCAAACAATACAAACGCTAGCCAAGACCAATCGAAGTAAAAAGCTTAGTGTGAGCACTTACCATGCCGCCTCTGTTTGAAAGAGCACAGTAGGTTCCTACAAGAATGTTACCAGCGATCGTCTGCCTGAATACTTCAACTCCAAGAACATCAGCTATCAGCTCCTCAGTTTCCTAGTCATAGCAGAGTTGGAAGTGATAAATTAGCCCTGAAGCCACAGCTATCTTAGATTATTTCAAGCAACAGACTCTGATGTGAAAGCGTTATGAATGTTCGAACAAACTTTTAGCCATCTAAAACATTTGAGCAACGATAACAGACATGTCCGGACTCCGGACCAACATTTCACTACTCGAACAGTTGGCGCTATAATGCCAGCACCACAAGCAATAGTTACGAACACTTACCCTGTCAAGATCAGGATGTGCAAGAGCAACATGGTCATTACAAGCAACGTGATTTCCGAGAGCATTCAACCTCTCCTCTATCCTCTGGACAACAACTGAATCAGGGAGACTGTTCCTCAAGTGCTGCAGCTCTGCCAGTGAGAAAGAGAGCAACAGATTACTAGAGTCGGTCGATCAATAAACGCGATCGGAAGCAGGCATGTCCAATAAACTCATCAAAAACTCACCCTGATCAGTGGTGGTGTGTGGCAGAAGAAGTCCATTTTTGTTTCCTGCAAGCCAAAGCAAATGCTCGAGCAGTGAGCCTAAATCATGGCAGAATAATACGAAACAACAGATAAATCAACACTCATCTTACCAACACATTGCCTCCCGATTATTCTAATGCCCCCAATCGAGGTCTTAACCACGGGAATGACATCTGCCAACTCGGACTCAAAGATACTGCAACATGGGCAAGCAATCCAGCCATTACAAAAAAACGTTTCAATCATCTCATCTCACAATCGTTGCAGAAAAGTTTAAAACTTTATAGGCAGGGGAAAGAACTCGGCCGTACCTGTAGAAGCTTTCAGATCCTCCAATCGCGACCAAGCAGTATGCATTCGTGAGCTTGGAGAAAACACCAACTTCACAATTGTTCTCGAATTGAAGCCCTGCGAAAAGAAGACAAGACACAATAATCTTAAGCTCTACAGAATTAAAAAAACGTGTACTCTGCACCCAACCCATCGTAGCAATAGTTTGATGATGAAGCTTACTAATAGCCATGACGAATAAGCAGGGGATTCAGAAGCTGCAACCACGCCAGAGAGAGCCGCACAAACGAAGGAACAAGTTGAGAAGGCGCCGATGGAAAGAGAAACACGCCAGAGAAACACAAGAACAGAGGAGAAGGGGAAGGGTAGGTACTTGATTAGGGTTTTCTCACTCGGATCTCCTCTCCTCTCACGGACTGACGGACAATTATGTGTAGAGTATGCATGGGTTGGATGGGTCGGGTTTGAAACTTTCTAGATATCCGATCCATGTACCGGGGTTTAGCCCAGTATTGTTAAACCCGAACCGGGAATAACGAGTTGTTTGCAATGTTTTCATAATTGGATCAAAATCGAAAAAGTTAAGGTAGTTATCATAAGGTCATAAACCTATTCATTTTGTATAAAACGGTCACAATTCTTTAATTTTGTATGTTTCGGTAAAACATGTTTAAGCAGATAACAAAGTGGTCAATCCGTCCAATTCCGTCAAAAAATCTGTTATCTTATGTCCAGTCAGCATGACACGTCACATAAAATATTAATAAAAAAATTGATAACAAACCTAATCGACCCAGATCAACCAAACTTAAAATAATAATAAAAAAAGAATTGGAGACCTAGGTCGCCGCCGAGTTCTGACTTGCTTCTGGTCATCTGTTGATCTTTCATACGGGAAAACCAAAAATCATTCAATTCCTCTACTCGGCGTCGGCGTCTCCCACCTCCCCTGCTCGGCGCTCGTCATCGTCTCCCGTCTCCTTGCTCGGCGTGTGCATCAGCATCGTCGTCCATGACGTCGTTTCCCATCTCTCCTGCTCGGCACTCGAATAGTCGTTGCCCACCTCCCTTCTAACCTGTACCACTCTCCCGCCTTCCCGAAAATTGACTTTCCATTGGCCCATCTAGCCACCGTCTAATAGCCCTCTCCCTCCTCCAGTGCCCGCTCGTCTCAGTTGGTGGAAATCTCATCGGTGCTCCGACGGAGCAATATAGACGAATCAGGGAAGGCATTGTGGTGCGACGAGGTCGAGGCGGAGGAAGATGGGGAGGGAGGGCTGCGGGGATAGTGGTGTCTTTGCTGTTGTTGATTTCTGAGGAATCGGAGGAGGAGCCGCCTGTGAAGAAGATCCCATCCTCGTTGAGCTTGTTGTCCTTGTCACGATGGAGCAACAACGGAGTGGTGGAGAAGAAGGCACGGTGGAAGCGACAGGAGGAAGAAGGGGATTTCCGATGGCAGAGTGATGGAGAAGAACATTTGGGTGGGTAAAGAGCTTCTTACGACCGGTTGGGTTTGTTGGGAATGAATAGTTTGAAAGCTATATTGAATTAAATATCCAGTATATTTTTAGATACGAAAATACCAAGAATAATTAATAAAAAGAATCTTATGGAGATAATTTTGATTAATTATCTTAATATAATGCATTTTAATTATGGAAGTGATTATCTTCTTAATTAAAGTGCGACTTATTCCCCACGAAAGAGGAAATATTCTACGGTTTTGCTCTTATAAATAGAGCACTTCCCAGACCCTCTAAACATACAATAAGAGAGCAGAAACACGAGAAAGAGTGTATTCAAAGAGCTCCGGTTTTTGCACAAAACCGCCGAGCAAATTAGATGAGCTGTTTTATCTTGGAGGCGACCGGTTGATAGTCTGCCGTGCGCAATGAAGGCAGTGCAACGTCTTAAAGAGAGCGACCTAGTCCGCGACTCAGCTCCAGATCGGTAACCCTAATTTTACTGTTCGGCTTCTAACAGGGTTGTGTGGGTTAAGTAGGGTGATTAAGTAATTTTTAATTATTATTTTTAATGACATGTAATGTTGACTTGGGCAAAATGTAACGAATTTTTGGACAGAATTGGACGGATAGACCACTTTGTTATTTGCTCAAACTTGTTTTACCGAAATGTGCAAATTTAAAGAATTGTGACCGTTTTGTACTAAGTGAATAGATTTGTGACCATTTATGATAATTACCCCGAAAAAGTTAGTGGTACTATTATTAGAGAACTTTATTAAAAAATTTATGACAGACCTATTAATTAACTGTTGATAGAACTATACATGCGCTATAATATAAAAAACATATAATGCACTAATTCAAGGAGAAAATGCTCTGTACGAACACTTCAGCGCAAGTAGCTCCGGCGACCGTTTCCATCCCGCCAGGACGGCCACCGGATGATCCAGCTTCAGGTATCGGCCCCTTGCCTCTGCCTAGGGAAACGACAATGGTGAACAAATCCACTGGGAATGAAGCGACTTCTGACATGGTGGTGGACGAGACACAGACAGCTGCGGCTCAATCAGAGGAGGCTCTGATGACCAGGGTGGAGAGGGTCATGAGCACGGATCCAAGCAAGTTGCTAACCTCAACCGGAGTTGGGATTTTGGACTCCCCTGACAACAGCCCTCATCCCACTCGAACGATCTCCTATGCTGGGGGTGCTAACAGGGGGCAGAAACCTAGCCAAACCCTCCGGGGTACAATGGGTCCCTGTAGGGGAACATGACCTGATCACGCGATCGTTCCAAGGCGAGCCTGAGCTAAAGATTTCGGAGAAATTCCAATCCCAACTCAGTAAGCCCTGGCAAAGAACCCTTGTCGTGAGACTCCTAGGAAGATCCATCGGATATGCAACTCTGTGCAACAGGCTTCGTGCCCTCTGGCGAGATTTTTGCTTTGGATGAGGAGTGCTTTCTGGTCAAGCTCGGAAACGATGAAGATTATTTCAAAGCGCTCACTGAGGGCCCCTGGACAATTTTCGATCACTACCTCCTGGTTCAACAATGGACGACGGGATTTCGGGTGACGGACAGCCTACCTAAAACGATGGTAGTCTGGGTTCAATTCCCCGGCCTGCCAGTGCACTTCTATCACAAAGAACTCCTCTTCACTATGGGCAATCTCCTAGGAAGATCCATTAAGCTCGATTATCATACTCAACACCAACAGCGGGCAAAATTTGCACGGATGGCCGTTGAAGTAGATTTGTCGAAGTCGCTGGTCCCGAGGATCAGATTAGACGGCCGGTGGCAGAAAGTTGAATATGAAAACCTCCCTGTTGTCTGCTTTGATTGTGGGATAGTGGGACACACGAATGTCTCTTGCCCAACCAGAGACCGAGGTGCGAACAGGGAAGCTGACTCTGGTGCCTTGGCAACGACGTTGATTCTGGCCGGCGAGGCCTCGCCGGAGGCCAATGCCAGCTTCGGACCTTGGATGGTGGTGTCGCGCAAATCTCGGCGCAATCAAAAGGATACTGCCACAAAAGGAAAGATGGAGCAGGGGATGGCGATCGCCAACGGGCAGAAGAGAGGGGAGGAAAGGAAAGCGGGCGAAATTATGGGGAAGTCTTCATCACGAAAGGAAGGGGTGTCGCAGCATAAACAACGACAACAGACAGGGGAGAGACAAGCGGCGAAAACGGAGGGGAAAGGCAAAGGAAGTTCGAAGGGGAAAGGGAAAGTGTTGGAGGCAGTAGGGATTACTGAAAAAGGTTTGCTGGGCCCAAAGCGGGAGAGGCCTCTTCTAGTGGGCCTAGCAACGTGGCTATCCAGGCTACCTCTCAGACTTCCCAAGTCCTGAGCCCCAAGCAGCCTGCGAAGACTTTGAGTGGGCCGACTGGGAAAGAAGCGGACCTGGCCAATCCAACCGGGCCAGCGACCCAAACTATTGATGGGAACGGGACCAGGATCCGAATCGTCGAGGCGCTACCATACCAGCCGCCTGCTCCTCGCGTGGTCGATCCTGAGACTCCGTCGGCGGTCTCCAGGACTAAGTCGAAGAAAGAGGGACGCGGCGGTGGAACCAAAAAGTCAGCGACACCAAAGAAAAGTACCCTGATGCGCCATAACGCCCTGAAGCCGCTGCAAATCTGGTCCCCGGTGAAAGAAAAGAAGGGTCGGAACAAGGAGAAGAGAGTCTCTCTTACCCTGCAACAAATAAAGGAATGGACGGAAGCGGCGCTGCCGAAGGCGGTGACTGACATCGAGCTGACCAACAAGGAAGGCTTGGAGAAGATGGAGGCGGATCCGAGCGGGATTGCGAGCAGTCAGGCTGCTACTGGCCATTAATTCCTGGTGTGCTCCTTCCTTTGCGGCATTGCTTTTCGTTTCTCGTCATTGTCTTTTACTTCTTAGTTTTAATGTCTGTCAACGTTAAGTCTGATTTCATAATTTTTGCCTGGAACGTGAGGGGAGCTGGTAGCAATGCTTTTTCTCGCTCTTTGAAGCTTGCTCTCCAGCTCCACAAACCTGACTTCGTTATTCTTATTGAACTGCAGATCAGTGGGGAGAATGCTAATAGAGTTTGTGAAAGGCTGGGCTACCCGGATGTCATCCGGGTTGAGGCTAACGGCAGGAGTGGTGGTATTTGGTTCTTCTGGAATGCCAAACAGTACGACATTTCTGTCATTTCCACGGGCTTCCAGCACCTGACCCCTCGGTCTCAAAGGGGAACAGTCGCCGTTGGATGCTTACCGCAGTGTACGCTTCACCACGGCAGCAGCTACAGCAACTCCTCTGGAACTACCTTATTGAGCAAAGCAAAACTATGGACTGCCCATGGCTCCTTTCCGGTGACTTCAATGCTATTCTTTCTCCGCTGGAAACTACTTGTCAAGCGACTCCTAGAGTGTTGCGGCGGTGCAGAAGGTTCAATGGGTGGCTCAATGAGGCAGAGCTAGTGGACCTCGGGTATTCAGGGCCGAAGCATACTTGGTGCAGGGGTGACCAGGTGCAGACCTTCAAAGCTAGCAGATTGGATAGGAGCTTGTGCAACATCGAGTGGAATGAGTCCTTCCCTAACACAACGGTGGTGCATCTAGCGAGGCTGAGCTCAGATCACAACCCAATTCTGACGACGGTGCCGAGTCAGGGAGTTACCCAATCTTCCCCTAGACGCTTCAGATTTGAAGCTGCTTGGCTTACTCACCCTGATTTCCAAAAAAATTTAAGTGATAATTGGAGTGGGTAGAATAATAACTTTCCTATGGCTTTGCAGGAGCTCTCGGATAACTTGAATTCTTGGAGCAAGCAGATTTTTGGCAATGTCTTTCAACGCAAAAGACGGCTGGTGGCGAGAATCGAAGGGATTGAGAGGAAGCTAGCCACCTCCTTCCATCCTGGTCTGGCCAAACTTCATACCAAGCTTGAAGCAGAGTTAGACAGAACCCTTGAGCAGGAGGAACTGTAATGGTTTCAAAGGGCTCGAGAAAACTGGGTGAAGTTTGGGGAAAGAAACACTGCTTACTTCCACCAAATCGCCAACATTCGTCGCCGGCTGAACAAGATTGAATGTCTGAAAAAGGAGAATGGGGAGTGGGTGCAGGATAGACAGGAGCTTGCTCAGATTGTTTTTGATTTTTTCTCTAACCTGTACTTGCAGGAGGCGTCTCTTTACACTGATTTTATGCCCAAGGGAGCTTTCCCTCGTCTGAGCCAGGAGGAATGGATGTGCTTATTGCGCCCCTTTTCGATCATGGATATTCACCAGGCCATTTTTGATATGAAAGCTCTGCAGGCTCCATGTCCAGATGGCTTTCAAGCGGGTTTTTATCAGCAGGAGTGGCGGGTTGTGGGGAAGGCTCTCACGGATATGGCTCTTTCTTTCTTCGAGAATGGGACCTTGCCTGCAGCCATCTCGGAGTCCACTGTGGTGCTCATTCCTAAAGTGGAGAAACCCGAGTTTGTCCACCAACTCCGACCCATTTCTTTGAATAATGTGAACTTGAAGGCTATTACCAAGGCGATGACGAGCAGGCTGAAAATGGTCATGAAAAAGCTTATCTCTCCTCGCCAAAGTAGCTTCATCCCGGGGCGGCAAACGGCGGACAATATTTTCGTCGTCCAAGAAGTGCTGCACTCTCTGAAGAAGAAAAGAGGGAGAAAGGGTGGTATGGTGATTAAGATTGACTTGGAGAAGGCTTATGACAGGCTCCGGTGGGACTTCTTGAGGGATACTCTGATTGAAGTGGGCCTGCCTAGCTCTTGGATTCGGTGCATCATGTTCTGTGTTGAGCAGAACCGTATGAGGATTCTTTGGGATGGTGAGCTTACCCAACCCATTACACCCACGAGGGGAGTCAGACAGGGAGATCCTCTTTCCCCATATCTCTTTGTTCTTTGTATGGAGCGCCTTTCTCACAGGATAGATGAGGCCGTCCGTGCTAAGCTTTGGAAACCCCTAAGCATAGCGCGGGGCGGGCCGGCTCTCACTCACCTTTTCTTTGCCGATGATTTAGTTCTGTTTGCAGGTGCGGAAGGGGCGCAGGTTAGGATCATCCGCCAGTGTCATGACGAGTTCTGCGAGAGCTCAGGGCAGAAAGTGAACTACTCCAAGTCCATGATGTACATCTCACCCAATATCTACTCGCTGCGTGCTCAGAGATTGAGCGATAAGGCTGTGACTCGACTCTACTGTCACTCCAGGAATTGGCCAAGTGAAACCACTTCCTAAAGCGTAGTATAGCGGGTTTGGGTTTAATTATCAACCCGGGTCCTAGATTTGATGACTACTCAGTGAATTCTTGTTATCTAGCAATGAAACTTTAATGCAAGTCTAAACTAACAAACTAACAAAGCAAGTAAACGGTTGTATTCAGGTTAAGAGAGGTCACCCGGATATGGTTCCCCCTAGACTGCAGTTATGCCGGATTGTAATTACCAAGTTCAGTTTCTATGAAAGTTATACTGCGGAAGATTCTTAAACAGCCTGAAGTCTCGACTAAAGGTCTTCAGACCCTCTCAATCTGAATCTCTAGCGGGCGACTAACCTCCACCGGAGTAGACAGATTGAGGCCCTAAGAACAAAACCTCCACTACCGGAGTAAATCCGGTACAGAATAGTGAGTTGGTTCCTCGACTAAAGTCACCAACTCCCTACCTTCAATCAAGGATGCTCTATCAACCTAGGCAGATATTCTCATTCTAGGTCAAAGCAGAAACAACAGGAATTTGATCAGGATTCAAGTCATTCAATCATTCAAACCTCAATCGAATATAATCAAATCATAGAATCAGTACTTGGGTTCATACAATCAAAGCCTAACATACAAATCTAGGGTTCTCCATACCCAGATGAATGGGAGAACTACTCCATAGAGAAAGAAGCAAAAGCAGAATCAGACGCGGAATTCATACTGTGAAGGATGGATTCCTGCTTCTGGATGTTGATCGACACTTCTCCAAGCTCAAGCTGGCCTCCAATGGTGTTGAAAATCAATCTAGGGCACTTGGAGACTCTTGTTCATCGCTTTCTCTCTCTAGGAACTGATCTCTCTCTCTAAAACTCGAATCCCCTTGACTTGTGGCTGAAAATCTTCTTAAAAGTATCAGTGGCCAAAGCACGGTCGAGGGCACGGCCGTGCTTTGCCTGAGCCTGCCCGTGTCTCGGCCAAGGTTAATTACACGGCCAGCAGTTGGGAGGAAACACGGCCGTGCTTCGCGTTGGATACGGCCATGTAATGATTGAACACGGCCGTGCTTTGTCTCGGCCCTGCCCGTGTAATCAGCTCTGCTCTCGGCATAAAAAGCACGGCCACAGGAACACGGCCGTGTAATGCCTTAGGTGTGCCCGTGTTTTGGCCCCAGCTTGACGAAATGACCTCCGAATGCCCCAAAACTCGTGGTTAGCCTTCCCTTTGACACCTGGGACCTGAAACATGACAAAATAGCACAACCCGGCGTAAAATAGGCCAAAACACACGACTATTCCCCTCAAATGGATAAGAACTAGGGGCACAAACATGTGCAATTACATCGTTATCAAACTCCCCCACACTTAACCGTTTGCTTGTCCCCAAGCAAACCTAACTCAAACCAATGCAACTCTCCAGACCTCTATAGCAGCAAACAACCCAGATCGTAGATAGAGGACTTCCTAGGTCAATTAGCAACTTACGAGGTCAACCGACGCACAAGTCATCTCATAGCTTCTTCGGCGAGAGCACTAGTATCGAGTCGGCATCATGGCAAATAGTGAACAGAGGACAAATGAATTGTGGATGGTGAGATTCTCAAAAACAAAAGACCATGGACTCACATTTTTCAAGGTGCTCTATTTTCTGCTTAAAGATGGTTGGAACCCCCTTTTTTTCCTGTTTTGCTTGTTTTCTGATATTTTTCTTTTCTTTTCTTTTCTTTTTCAAGGGTCCCAACCTGCTCTTACCGGCCATGCCAGGAGCGGATGTCTCGAGCCTCGTGCGGGGGAAAGACATGTAAGGGGGCTGGAGGTAGTAGGTGGAAATTGGGAACGAATTCCCGTCTCCCCTTACACACTTTCGCCCTATTCGCACGGGAGACGTTTATTTTGAAGCACATTTTCGAGCACCTGTTATTTTCAAAACATGACACAAGAGTCCATGACAGGTAGAAAATCCACAGCACCACACAATTCAAGGGTCCTAAGATCACTAATTCACTCAATCAACCAACATAATATGAAGAAGAAATGAGACTTCTTAAATGCATCAACATCCTCCATAGTGCTACACTACCTCCCTAGGTTGCATATTACTATAAAGACTGTCAATTCAAAGCATACTGAGCAGGCAATTGCAAGGAACACGTAATTGGAGCCCTCAAATTTAAAAATTTGGACAGTGGACTAGGCTCCAAGCACACAAACAGATCTAATGCAGTCAAAAGATAAACATCCCCCCACACTTAAGATCGACATTGCCCTCAATGGAGAAGAGGGAAGGGAAAGGGAACGATGTTACCGGTATGCACGGACTGCAGGAGACTGGAAACGGGCCAGTCGGGGCAAGCACAGCCAAAGGGAAACAGAAGAGCTCAAACACAATATGTTAGGTTCAATGGTCAGCCCAATAAAATATCATCCAAACCAAAAGAAAACAAACCAAACCCAAACCGGGTTACAATCCGACTCAAAACACAAGAAAGAAAATCAAACCGTGGTGGGGTTGCCTCCCCACAAGCGCTTTTTTACCGTCTTTTAGCTGGACGCCCATGGTGGATACTCAGGGCGGTGCAGGAACAGGTGCCTTCAAGAGCGGATCCACGTCGCTCTTGAGGTACAGCTTGAGGTTGTGGCCATGCACCCGACGGATGCGACCACCATCATCAGTCAGCTCGACCTGCCCATCTGGCAAGATGCAGGCGAGTGAGTACCCAGACGGCCAGGGTGGTCGTGGTGCAGGGGGTGGGACCAGCTCATAGTGGTCTCCACTCTTCTTCCGCGCAGGCTTAGCAACCTGCTGCTTCGGCCGCCACTCCTCCTTGAGCTTTTTGTTCGGAGGCGAGGCTGGATGGAGTGGCAGCGAAGGAATGATGGGAGGGTCCTGCAAAATAAGAGGAGCAGAAGGATACACGACAGGCTCGTGTACCTGATCAGACATAGCATGCACAGGCGTGACATCAATCATAGCACAGTGATCAAACTCAGTCACAGAAAAAGTAGCCTGTTCATTCCCAGTACGCAAGATCAGTTTACCATCATGCACATCAATAAGTGCCTTGGCGGTGGCAAGAAATGGCCTACCTAGAATCAAAGGCACATCCACATCCTCATGTATATCAAGAATAACAAAATCAACAGGATATGTGAATGCACCAACACCAACAAGCAGATCCTCTATGATTCCCCTAGGATGCACAATAGAACGATCAGCTAATTGAATGCTCATCCTAGTAGGGCTAAGTTCACCTAGGTCTAGCATTTTATACAACTTATATGGCATGACGTTAATGCTAGCGCCTAGGTCCGCCAAGGACTTTCCTACATGCATGCTGCCAATAGTAAGAGGGATAGTAAAACTCCCTGGATCCTTGCGCTTCTCGGGCAGCTTGTTCTGCAGGATAGCAGAACACTCCTCGCTCAGCAACACTGTCGAGAGATCCCCAGTTTTCTTCTTGTTGGTGCAGAGATCTTTCATGAACTTGGCATACTTGGGCATCTTCGACAGTGCCTCCACGAACGGTATGCTGATGTTGAGCTGCTTCAACATTGCCATGAACTTGGCAAACTCAGTCTCCAGCTTGTCTTTGTGTAGGCGAGTGGGGAAGGTAAGCTGGGGCACATGCTCCTTAACCACTGGTTGTGGCTTGGGAGCAGGGGCTTCCTTCTCCACCCGCACTTCTGCATCGTCGACTGGAAGTGCTGAAGCAGTCAGTGGTTCCTCCTGTCTGGCCGGGACAGGATCAGCAGATATGGTCTTACCGCTCCTGGTAAAAATGGCATCCAGCTGCTGATGCTGGTGAGGATCTCGAGGATTCGGGACAGTGGTGGCAGGCAAAGTCCCCGGTGCCCTGGTGGTGGTTTGGCGGGCCAAGATGCCCACCTGGGTCTGCAGATCCTGCAAAATGGCACCCTGGTTCCTCTGACCTGCCTCCAGTGAGGCTACACTCTGGTCCAACCTCGTGATAGTCGCCTGAGTGCTCGTCATGAATGAAGCTAGAATGTTTTCCAGCTTCGTCATCCTGTCATCTGGTGCTGGAGCTGCTGCTGGCTCGGCAAACTGGCGCTGGGGCTGCTGGAATGGCTGCCCCTACCTAGGCTGGTAGGGATGCTGCTGTGGGCCTGGCCCCTGGCGAGCCTGGAAGGGCTGCCTCTGCTGAAAACCACCTGCTGGTGCTGGGAAACCAGGTGGTTTAGTGGTGTTGCTGCTCCAGGCGAAATTGGGATGCTGGTGCCACCCCTCATTATATGCGTTACTGTATGGATCGAGGCGCCGTGCATTGGCGATGAAGGCCAACTGCTCCTGGGGTGTGGTAGACTCCCTCATAGCCTGGCAGTCCTCCACTAGGTGATTGGAGCTCTCACACCACTGACACTGAGCAACTAGAGGTGTAGCCAAACCTCTGCACGGAATAAGACTGTTGGGCTGCTTCAATGTCTGCACCAGCTCAGCTACCTGCTGCTCGAGTCCGGATCTGGACTCCATGGCGTGCACACCACGGTCCCGGGAATGTCTGCCTCTGCTGCTCTGCCCCCAGGAATGATCTCTGGCAGCCAATGTATTAATCATCTGGTTCAGCTCGGGTGGAGTCTTAGTGAGAATATCCCCTCCTGGGCATAGAGACTCAATCACCCTCTGGCTATCTGGAGAGAGGGCACTGTAGAAGTTCCCCACTGTGAATGCATCGCTGAAGCCATGATGGGGGCACTGCCAGAAATAGCCCATGTACCACTCCCATGCATCACGAAGTGACTCATCTGGCTCTTGGCGGAAGTGAGTGATCTCCCGCTGGATCTCTGTAGTCTTCGATGCCGGATAATACCTGTGCACGAACTTGTCCGCCAGATCGTCCCAAGAGGTGATGGACAATGGGGGCTGGGTCTCCAACCACCGCTTAGCATTCCCCGCCAGAGAATGTGGGAAGAGATGAAGGCGGATCGCATCATCGGGAACACCGTTCAGCTTGAACCCGTTTGTCAGCTGCAGAAAACGGGACAAATGTACCCTGGCCTCCTCATCCTTCAAGCCATGAAACTGGATCGAGGATGTGATGAGCTGAATCCAGCATGGCTTGATCTCGAAGTTGTTTGCTGGGATCGGCGGGTAGAGGATGACCGGGCGGATGTCAGCAATCCGTGGAGTGTAGTAGTACTCCAAGGTGGGACCCGGCTGCGGTGGATGATGAACTCCATGATCCTGGGGTATGGGGTTGTTCCCCAGGACCTGATTCACCTTGGGAGCCTGCTGAGGATTCCCCTGGTGCTGATTGTAGTCTCCGTCCATCCCGTACTCTTCTTCAGAATCGCTACTCAAGTGGCCGTCTAGGCGCTCTTCCGTAGCCAGTCTAGCTCGCTGCTGTCTCCTGAGTTGGCGACAGGTGCGGTCAATCTCTGGATTCAACGGCAGTAAACCTCCCGACTGGCTACGGGTCATGCACTACCTGCACACACTCAAGCAAGCAAACCCGTGAAGGCACAAGTGGGACAAAGCAAACAAAGCAAAAAGAAAAGCTAAATTAACAGAAATTACTTTTCTTCAACAACCTAGCCGTCCCCGGCAACGGCGCCAAAAACCTCAATCGAATATAATCAAATCATAGAATCAGTACTTGGGTTCATACAATCAAAGCCTAACATACAAATCTAGGGTTCTCCATACCCAGATGAATGGAAGAACTACTCCATAGAGAAAGAAGCAAAAGCAGAATCAGACGCGGAATTCATACTGTGAAGGATGGATTCCTGCTTCTGGATGTTGATCGGCACTTCTCCAAGCTCAAGCTGGCCTCCAATGGTGTTGAAAATCAATCTAGGGCACTTGGAGACTCTTGTTCGTCGCTTTCTCTCTCTAGGAACTGATCTCTCTCTCTAAAACTCGAATCCCCTTGACTTGTGGCTGAAAATCTGCTTAAAAGCATCAGTGGCCAAAGCACGGTCGAGGGCACGGCCGTGCTTTGCCTGAGCCTGCCCGTGTCTCGGCCAAGGTTAATTACACGGCCAACAGTTGGGAGGAAACACGGCCGTGCTTCGCGTTGGACACGGCCGTGTAATGATTGAACACGGCCGTGTAATGATTGAACACGGCCGTGCTTTGTCTCGGCCCTGCCCGTGTAATCAGCTCAGCTCTCGGCATAAAAAGCACGGCCACAGGAACACGGCCGTGTAATGCCTTAGGTGTGCCCGTGTTTTGGCCCCAGCTTGACGAAATGACCTCCGAATGCCCCGAAACTCGTGGTTAGCCTTCCCTTTGACACCTGGGACCTGAAACATGACAAAATAGCACAACCCGGCGTAAAATAGGCCAAAACACACGACTATTCCCCTCAAACGGATAAGAACTAGGGGCACAAACATGTGCAATTACATCGTTATCAGGCTGCCATCCCCTTGACTAAGGCGTTGGGTCGGTACTTGGGGATTCAAACCATCCATGGCCGGATCACCAGGAGCAGATACTAGGAGTTGATTCTGAAGATATAGAGGAAGCTGGCCCCTTGGAAGGCGAAACGGCTATCTTTGGCTGCAAGGCTGACAGTTGCTAGATCTGTATCCTTGGCTATCCCTACGTACACTATGCAAACTGAAATGATCCCTGTTAATGTTTGCAACACTATCGACAGGATTAACAGGGATTTCATTTGGGGCAAGGATGAGAACCAGGGGAAGATGCACCTGGTGGCTTGGGAGAAACTAGCAGAGCCAAGAACTCAAGGAGGAGGAGGCCTCCGGGCGCTCCGGCATGCTAACCTCGCCCTTTTAGCTAAAGGAGGGTGGCGCATTCTCCAAGAAAAAGAGACTCTCTGGACTCAAATCATGAGGGCAAAATATGGTGGAAAGAGAAAAGATCTGAACATCTTCAGACCCTGTCAGGGAAGTTCTTTTGCTTGGTCGAGCATAAACAAAGCAGCTAGCCTTTTGAAAAAAGGGTGTGCTTGGAACATTCACAATGGGAAAAGCACTAACTTTTGGTTGGATAATTGGATTTTGCAGGAACCGCTCGTTGAGGCTGCAAGTCAACCTGTTCCGGAGAAGGAACGAGCTCGGACGGTGGCCTCTTATATGGATGTGGATGGTCGCTGGGATACCACTCATCTCTCTCAATGGCTCTCGGCGGAGATCATTCAGAAGATCACTGCTGTGATGGTTGATGCTCTTTCTTCAGATGAGGACCAAATCTTCTGGAAGGCGTCGGCTGATGGTCGCTTCACGATGAAGACTGCTTACCTTCTGAGCCAGCCCGGGAGTGTTGAGGCGAATGATCGGATCTGGAAGGGCATTTGGAAGCTTCCAGTTCCAGAACGGGTGAGATGTTTTACCTGGCTGGTTCTTCTTGGCCGGATTGCTACCAATGTTCTTCGTTTTTGCAGGAGATGCAGTGACTCGCCGAACTGCGCCAGGTGTGAGGACACTCCAGAGACGGTGCTTCATGTGTTGCGCGACTGCCCTCCAGCGCGTTTCTGCTGGTCTCGTTGGGTCCCGATTGACAAACAGACAGAATTTTTTCACAAAGGTCAAGAGGACTGGCTCCGCAGCAATCTGACTAGTGAGGACATGATGGAGTCTGGTTTGGCGTGGAATGAGTTCTTCAGTATTGCTATCTGGCTGGTGTGGAGGAACAAGTGCATAGTGGGTTTCAAGGGGGTTAGCAAGGCCCTCACAGCTCCTACTCTCGCTCACTCGATTCAGCACAAAGCCCTTCTTTGGCACCAGGCGTGGGAGGCTCCTTCCATTAAGTCAGGTCGATCTATCTTGCAGGCTAATAGGATTACTGAACAGATCAGTTGGCAACCTCCTAGCTCAGGGTGGCATAAGCTGAACATTGATGGTGCCTCGGCTGGCAACCCAGGGACGGCGGGGGCTGGTGGGGTGATCAGGGATGAGCAAGGGAGGTGGATTGCTGGTTTCGTGGCTAAGATCGGGGAAGCGACTGCAGCGTTAGCAGAGCTTTGGGCTTTCTACCATGGCTTGGAAAGTTGGATGCGACAGCCTGGTGGTTGAGTCTGACTCTCAGTTAGCAATCCAGTTGATAAACAACCGAAGGGACCCAGTACATCCGTACGCCTCATTGCTTGATGCTATCAGGAGGAAGTTGGCGCAGAGTTGGTTGGTTAGGGTAGTTCATACGTATCGTGAAGGGAATAGAGCCGCAGACTAGCTCTCGAAGAACAGTCTCGTCTATCCCTATGGTACGCATGAACTTCCTAATCCGCCGAGGGAGCTGATTGGGATCCTTAGAGATGATGTTATGGGTGTCTCTTTTGAGTGCCAAGTGAGAGCGCCTGTTGCTCTGTAACCCCTCTTTCTTTTCTTTCTTGGCCTTGGCCTCCCTTATTGCAAAAAAAATATAATGCACTAATTTATGAATGAATTTATCATTAACCATTATAATTACAAATTCATATCATCTATCACCAAAAAGTTGTAATAAAGCATTCAAACTATATCACAAAAGAAATCATAATTCTTATATTAAATTCAAATAGGTCATAAGAGTGGCAATCTTTAGTGAATTAGATAAATCCCATAAGTAGGTTGGAATGAAAAAAAGAAGTATAAATTAAATTAGTGACTGAGGTTGAATGGTCTTTGTTTACGGTAACGTTTTTTAATAATTTTTTGTGGTTAAAATACTAAATTAGTGGACTAGTTAAATTGTGATGGTTCATCTAGTTTCGTGTTAAACTGTAAAAAAATATTCGATCCATCATTAACCATCCAATCAAATGAATCGAATGGTATTTTAATTGGTTTAGGCGTTCTATTGCCTAAATGATTAATCCGGTTTGGGTCTTCTAAATTTTAATGGGATGTAGAGGTGTGGACTGCGGCTGCGGCACTAACAGAAGCAAAAAACGAACGTAAAATACAATGGTTTTGGGCGCTTTCTTCTCGCCGGCATTGCGACCCACAAGCTAAACGCGCCGCCGTTGCTCTTAAATAATTCTTCAAGTTCTTCTTCCTCGCGATTCGATTGATTGATCTCTCTCCTATCGAAGTCTGGTGAAGTAAGATGCAACCATTTGTTTCCCCGTGGAAAAATGAGGGTTTCGGCCACCCGGTATTGTCCTAATTAGAATTCGGAATCGTCATCTTCGTCTCTAGCCTCGTTGTCATAGGTAACCACGTCTTTTAATCGATTCTTTAGATCAAAGATTGAATGTTCAACTCCTTTCTCGCAATTTGTAATGTGGATAATTAATGCGCAAGTCAATTGGAGTTCGTGTTTTGTGGATTTCATCGTTGTTGCTAATTTGAATATGGGTTTAACATGCTGCAAACTTCAACTGTCGTATGACATTGTAATTCTTTCAGGCAGTTACGTTTCTCGTTTTCCGTCTATTCTCCAAGGGATTGCACAAGAAGGATTGACAAGCTGGTGGCTGAAATGTTGTGGTCGGAATTCATATGGTCCGTTGACTGTTGGACTAATTTGGAGGTAAGCAAAGTTCTTGCCTTTTGCTTTTACTGGGATTGGTGGTGGATGAACATGAGAATTAACTTGAAGATTCAAGCTTTTGATATCTTTTCACATAATGTTTGATCAAGTAGCCGGCTGGGTGCTAAATAGAAACTCTTGGGCTCAGGTTGAAGTATATGCAGATAATGAGAGTACGAGATCTTTACTTTGCCGGGTAAGCTGTAAATGTATATTGGACGAGTTCCTTATAGTCATTTCGGGTGGATATGAAATCTCACTTGATTGGTTCACATTCGTTGCTTAAGTTTTGGAAAATTTTCAGCAGGTAAAGAAACATGCACTGGTCCTTTCTGATCACAGGAGTGATGTTGACGAGCTAATTGGATGTGTCCTTGTTCAGGTGCATATTCTAAAGTTCATGGGTTTTTGAAAGATAATGATATGCTTCTAATGATGTTGAACTTATAGAGAGAAAAAAGGTCTACTTCTATTATTGATTAGTTGGTAAAATAATACACTGTTTATACAATATATATAGCAACTGTTGAATAACAAATACACCACAGAATTAAACAAATATTACAACATAACACCTAAACTATTTATTCTGCATCTTTGAGTCCTCCAACAACCCCCCGCAAGCTGGAGCGTGGATATCCAAACGATTCAGCTTGGAAAGCAAACATGAAAACACAACACTTGACAAGGACTTCGTGAAAACATCGGCGAGTTGATTCTCGCTAATAACATGCAAAACCTTTATCAAACCAGATAAGATGCGATCACGAATGATATGACAATCTATTTCAATATGTTTTGTTCGTTCATGGGCCACCGAATTCTCGGCTAGTCTAATAGTGGACTGATTATCACAAAACAGCGTAGTAGGAGAGTTAAAAATAATGCCCAGGTCCTGAAAAATGTAATGCAGCCACTGTACCTCGCATGTCAAATCTGCCATTGCACGGTACTCGGCTTCATTCGAGGATAGGGAAACAGTAGGTTGTTTCTTCGATCTCCAACTAATAACCGAGTCTCCTAGGAACACACAATAACTAGTTGTCGACCTACGAGAGTCTGGGAAGCCAGCCCAATCACTATCTGAAAACCCGGTAAGTTTAAGAGAAGAATTACTAGGAAAAAATAACCCTTGGCCTGGATTGTTCTTGAGATACCTAAGAACTCTATATGCAGCAGTGAGATGAGTGTTTGATGGGTTACGCATGAACTGAGTTAGATTATGCACAACATAAACAATATCAGGACGAGTATGATACAAATACAAAAGACGTCCTACAAGTCTACGATATAATTCAGGGTCAGAAAGAGGTTCACCGTCATGTATAGAGAGCTGACTTCCAGCAACCAGTGGTGTGTGACTCGCTATGGCACAACTCCTAACAATGGCCAAGTGTAACCAATGAAAGGGACTGCAGTATAGTGGCTCAAGTAATAAATATCGAATCCACTGGTCTGTAGAGTTACTATTACTCAGCTTCAGTTCATTATCTAGCAAACCAGATTAAGATGGAAGAACTAAAACTACTCTAACAAACTACAGTTAAAGTTAATCTAATTACAGGTTGGGAACTCACTTAGGTACACTAGCCAGATTAATGATTGATGATTTCTAACTTGTTTCACTTTCATTCACAATGCGGAGAATCCTTGACTAGACCTTGAATCTCGACTAAAGGATCAAGACCCTCTTGAGTCGATTGCCTAGAGGGACACATCCTTCTCTAGAACAATCGATCAAGGCATTCTGAACTAGACTCCTTCTATCGAATGAGATTCTCAATAGATACAAAGCAGTGAATCGACCCTCGACTAAAGCAATCGATCCAATACTATCAAACTATGGTGCTCTATTGACCTAATGAGGTATTCGCTCTCATAGGATCAAAGAAGAATCAATAATCTCGACTAAAGCAGAATTGAATCGTGAAAATGTGCATAGATTGAATATGAACTCAAGATTATCAAGTAGGAGTATTCATACAATCATCCAATCAAACAAACATAGCTAGGGTTCCTCAAAACCTAAGTGAAGGGAAGTTACTCCATAGAGAAGAGAGAGACTGCAGTAAGAATCTTCAGAAGATCAGTCTTCAAGTCCGGTTTTTTTTCGAGCTTCCAAGGAGAAGAAATCCTCCAATTCCACTCCAATAATGCCTCTAATCGCCCTCTCTCTCTTTGGTTCGTCCCTTGGGTGTTTGGGATCCAATACTCAGCTCTCCCCCTCAAAAACGCACAAAACGGGCTTTTAACAGCCTGTGTTCGCAACCCGGTCGGGTATTTTGGGTACCCGACCGGGTATTTTTGGTTCACGACCGGGGGCCTTTTGATGCTGCCAAAAATACCCTATCAGATGGTCAAAATACCTGGTCGGGTATTTTGGTCGGGTATTTAGCAGTCCCGGGTTCCCTATCTTTGATTCTTCGTTTCTCCCTCGTTCGGACTCCAAATCAGGTGCCGTTTGATCGCAGACGCTCGTAGTCTCGTCCTCTTTCTTCTCATGACAAGATTACATGATTATACTGTCACAAAATAAGGTATAAATCCATTCTTCTTCAAATCAAACCCGAGTTTCTTCCCCCGAGTCGCCAATTAATCTCCGATTGACTCTAAACTTGCGCCTACGCTTCACTTTATGTGCTAGGACCTGAAATGTGACAAAGGAATACAACCTAGCGTAAAATAGGCTAAAGAAGAGATAATGCAAGCTTAAACGATCAAGAAACAAAGGGAAAACATGTGCAAATATCGAGTCATCAGTGTGGCAGTCGATTTGCCAGCAAGTAACCATGCATCACTAAGAAAATCTAGTGTATATTTACGTTGGAAAATAGAAAATCCAGCAGATGTTCGAGCTATTTCCAAACCTAAGAAATATTTGAGTTGTCCAAGATCCTTGATCTTAAAGGCACCATCTAATTGAGACTTAAGCAAGTTTAGAGAATCTATATCGTCACCTGCTAATATAATATCATCAACATACACTAAGACAACAAGAAATTTACCCATATTGGACTTATTAAATAATGAGTAATCTGCCTTAGACTGTGTATAACCAGCATTAAGAAGAAATTGAGTAATTTTATGATTTCATTGCCTACTAGCTTGTTTAAGACCATATAAGGATTTATTTAATCTACAAACCAGATTCTTAGAAGGCAAAGATAAGCCTGGTGGAGGCTTCATATAGACTTCTTCTACTAAATCACCGTGTAAAAATGCATTGTTAACATCTAATTGTTGCACATGCCAATTTTTTATGGAAGCTAGAGCAAGTAAAGCACGAACAATAGTAAGTTTAGCTACAGGAGAGAAGGTTTCTAAATAATCAAATCCCGAGGTTTGAGTATACCCTTTGGCAACTAATCTAGCCTTAAAACGTTCTATACTGCCATCAGTTTTAAATTTAATCCGGAAGACCCATTTATTTCCAATAGCACGCTTACTTGGAGGAAGCGGAGTTAGAGTCCAAATATTGGTGTTTGCCAATGGTTGAAGCTCTAAATCAATCGCTTCAACCCATCTAGAGTTTTTGACAACCTCATTATAAGTGGTTGGTTCTGTTTCATTAGTAACATCCATAACAAAACATTTGTAAGTAGGAGACAGTCTATGATAAGATAAAACTCTTGAAATGAGATATTTTGCATTAGTATTAGTACAAAAATAATCACTCAAGTTCTTTGGAGGAGCACGATTCCTATCCGAGCGTCGAAGTGGGACAGCAGAGTTAGGAAGTGATGCTTGGGAAGAAATTGAGGATGAGGGAGGAATGTAGGCCGGAATGCAAGCTGGAATTGTGGAAGAAGAGAGAGCAGAAGCTGATTTTGAAGGACTAAGGGATGATGGGACTGGACCAGCAAGGTGAATTTCTATGAAAGGAAGGACCTAAAGAATCTGAAGATAAACCAGAATTTGCAAAAGGAAAAATGTTTTCATGAAAAACAAAATCACGAGACTCATAAAAATTGTGGGAATGTAAGCTGTACAGTTTGTAACCCTTAGTGGCGAAAGGAAATCCTAGAAAAATACACGGTTCTGCCCTAGGTGCAAATTTAGGACGATTATGAGCTAATGTGGAGGCATAACAGAGGCTACCAAACACACGAAGATTATTATAATCAGGTTTTCTATCAAATAAAAACTCAAAAGGAGATCTATTGTGAAAAACAGGGGTTGGTAACCGGTTAATGATAAGGACAACATGCAATACACCATGTCCCAGAACTTAACCGGAAGAGAAGCTTGCATAAGAAGAGCTCGAGCCACAACAATGATAACTTGCTGCTTTCGCTCAAAACGACCATTTTGTTGTGAAGAAGCAGTACATGTAGTTTGATGAAAAATTCCTAACGAATTATAAAAAGAAGGCATATTAGACTCAGCACCATTATCATTCTAATGGTTTGTACTTTTAGATTAAACTGAGTTTGCACATAAGAACAGAAATTTAACTAGTTTCACATAGTCAAGGAATTGAACTATGGCCAAGACGATAGTGCCAAGTGCCAACGATCAAAATGACGAATAGTAGTGTAAAAAACAACAGACAATGCAATAGGCAAAGATAAAGCGGGTAAACCACGTCCAGATTCGACTTTGAGATAGTACAACCCGACAATCTGCTTATATATACCAATCCTCTACCGGGACGAGGTATCCTGAATCAAGCAATATGAATGAGAGAAAATCAATTCACAATTATTATGCTTAGCTAACCTACTGGCAAATACCATATTGAAAGTGAATGATGGAATCATCAAGACATCATGGATAATCAATGATTCAGAAAGCATCACAGTACCCTTATGAGTCACTGCTACGCGAGAACCATCCGGCAGAGTAACAAACATACCATTCGTTGCCCTAAAGTCTACAAAAAGATCTAAAGCGCAAGCCATGTGATTTGTCGCTCCACTATCTACAATCCAAGTCCTCGAGACCTCTAATGTTTCAGGACAAGCAGTAGTAAGGATGTACTTACCTGCTGCAGCATGAGCAGCCAACTGATTTGGCTGATTCCAAACAGAAGGCTGAGAAGCAAGTGATGCTGAAGTTGAGTGCGAGGCTGAAGCAGAAGCTGGCGTAGGTTATGAAGACACAAGGCAGGAGACTGAGCTTGATGTTGATGTCGAGGCAGAGACTTGAGCCAGTAAGGATCGATACTGCTCAGAAGTGAGCACCATAGAGCCAGAATCACTAGAGAAGACTTCAGCAGCAACCGGAGTATTAGGAGGATGCTCGTATGAGTTTTCAACAATAGTAGCATTGACCTTGCCTTTTCCTTTGTAGCCGGCGAATATCCATGCTTCTTGTAGCACCGATAGACCGTATGACCTACGATTCCGCAGTGAGAGCAAATGGGATGCTGCCGAGCGCCAGCACCTCTGCCTTGACACTGACCCGTAGAAGAACGGCCAGCCAGAACAAGCGGATTAGACGAAGATCTAACACTAGTCAGATTGATTTGTCTCTCGTGTTGAATGACAAGAGAGAAGACACGCGTGATTGGAGGAAGAGGCTCCATGAGAAGAATCTGACTTCTGATTTGAGAGAAGCTGTCATTAAGGCCTTTCAAGAAAAGGATAACTTGATCTGATTGCTCATAATTGCGGAGAACTGTTAGAGCGCCACATGAACAACGCGGATTGCAGGAGCAGACCGGGAACGAAAGAAGAGTGACGAGCTCGTTCCACAAAACTATGAATCTGGTGAAGTACTCACTGACAAAGACACTCCCTTGCTTGAACGAGATGACCTCGTCCTGGAGATCGGAGATCCGAACAAGACTTGCCGCACTGAAGCGATCTTGGAGATCCTTCCACACTTCGACGGCAGAATCAAACCACAGAATGCTCTGTGCGATGTCTTGAGCAAGTGATCGATACAGCCAGCCTAACACCATCACATTGCAATGCTCCCAAGCGTCGTAAAGAGGATCGCTTGGAGATGGAGGGACGACAACAAGATCAATGAGTTGAAGCTTATTCTTCGCCAGGAGCGCGAGCCTCATCGACCTCGACCAAGAGTAGTAGTAGTTGCCGTTGAAGACAACGATGACCAAGATAGTCGCCGGATTGTCACCTGGATTGAGGTAGTACGAGTGACTCGGATCCAGCGATCCAGTAGGCGGAATAGAGAAATTGTTCGTCGGAGTAGTCATCGGAAGACACGAATCGAAGACGAATAGCACTGATCGGAAAACAAAGCGGAAGAACGGAAGCGATCGGGCAGAGAAACCCTAGATCATTCAAGAAGACGAATGAATTTTCTTTTGCTCTAATACCTTGTTGAACTTAGAGAGAGAAAAAGAGTCTATTGATTAGTTGGTAAAATAATACACGGTTTATACAATATATATAGCAAATGTCGAATAACAAATACACCACAGAATTAAACAAATATTACAACATAACACCTAAACTATTTATTCTGCATCTTTGAGTCCTCCAACAAATGATGTTTGTGAATACCGACTGATCCACCGGTGATCTTCGTTCTTGTTTCTGATAGAATATATTCTGTCACAAAAGTCCTCGGGTTGCCTCTGGCCCTCATGAAGAGAGAAAATAAATGGCTTCCTATAAGTCCTTCATTTAATGCAAGCTCATTGCTTCCTTCTCTGGAATCATGTTTTGATAGTCATGGAATTGGCTACTACGTACTGTTTGATGCATAGATAATACTATAATAGGCTGGCTGGTCAAAGCGACATCTAGCAAGCCGACATTGCAGTCATTGTCATGAATGCTGTGGGGAAAGTCTATGATGGTAAGGATGAGAGTATCTATTGTACAACACCAGTTGCTGCTGAAGCCTTTGCCATCAGAGAAGCAGTGATGACGGCTGCTCAAGAGCCATGTTCCACGGTGATTATTTCTGACTGACTGGAGATCGTTGAAGCTTTGAAGAGAGCTACGTGTGTGTGACTGGATGGTGAGTTGTGTTGCTACAACCGCCTCGACTCTGTCCTGCCTTGAAGGTATGGAGAATATTGAAGTAGCTCATTGTCGCCGATGCGAAGTCAAGGAAGCTGACACCATTGCTCGTCTTGCTGTCAATGTTACCCTGCTTTCTGGATGGTTAACTAGTATGTTTTAATGGTTGTAATCTACTGCTACTGCTACTGCTACTGTGTATTGCTGATGTTTGGCTTCTCCTTGTACTTCTACTGCATTTTGTGTTGGGTCTGTATGTTCGAAGCCTTTGGCTTTTGCTGGTGTTCGAGTGATATATGAATATATCTCACGTTCCAAAAATAAAAATTGAAAAAGAAAAGATCAGCCCTCGCCCATTTTGCTAATACAAGCTTCCGTGGTAAATTCTAATGATCAGATGGTACTTTTTACCATGGTACGCACCAATGGGGACTGTCTGAATGTATTGGGAGTGGAATTTTGGACAAGGACCTTCTCTTCTCCTCGTTGTCTGTGATGGCGGATCGAAGTGGAAGGCAGACAAGGTTGTCAAACCGGTTTATACCGTTGTGCCGGTTTGGCAAGTGGAATCGTACGTCCAGTGGTATAACCAGTTTGTATCGGTTCATGTCGGTAAAAAAAAATGTGAAAACAATTAATATCTAATGTATTTAATCATATATAAAACATATTTGTGGACAATTTAGTTACAATCCAACAAATATCATCAACTTTTAGCTGTAGACACCACATTTTGTCCGGAGCAACCATCCTACTCAAAATTCGGAAGAATATTCCATTTAAAAATTAAAAAGAAAACCCAAGTGAAAGTTTGGACGAGGTTGGTTGAGATTAGCAGTGGCAAATCAATAAGTACCAATAATTTCGAAGTCCTCTTTCTGTTTAGTTCGAATAGCTGTACTAGGTAGGATTAGCAGTAGCTAATGACTACTAAATTCGCTTTATTTAGAGTAACAATATGCCGTCACGACTATACTAGTATTACGGTTAATGATTAGTGACATAGGTTTGAAATTGGTCAAATGAGATAGTAAGACCATATTAAACTTACTGATATTGGTCAATATTGGTCGAAATTCATAATCAAGAACTACTTATTTAAGAAGTTGGGATGTGGGTCACGATCAGGAAAAAGAATAAACAAGCTAGGTGGAAGCAAATCAATTGAATAGTTGGCCATACAATAATTACACGATCATTCTAATTATAAGTCGCAAAAATAATTACATGCATAATTACAAAGTACAAATGTACAACTAATAATTATTACATTTGATAAGGAATTAAGGATGAATAAAATAGGACTTCTTTTTCTTTTGGGCACCAATCAGAATTGGGGGCTTAGCCAATTAAGGCTGTTTGGGCCCCCATTGATCATCATTTCGGGCCGGAAACGAACTACGTGGACTTTGATCCCGTCTAACGGGTACGTAGGCAACCGATAAGGTTCGAGTCCAACTAACCAATTTTCTTTATCTTTTACGTCAGTGGACGTATAATTTAATTACAACTAACACGATTTAGTTTCTTTAATGGTCCAGTAGGACCCTAAAATATTACTAAAATACACCCAACTCGTACAAAAAACTTATCGACTTAAGTAGTACCGATTTAGGGCGTCGTGGGGTGTGATTTCACTTCCCCACACGTAACCGTACTCCCGAACCCAGAACTTCATTTTCGCAGACCATATCTCGGTTCCGACCCTAAGGTTAGAGCCGATCCTAAGAGTGTTCGATCCACTCCAACTAAGATCGATGGCGACTCCCAAAAAATGCCGACGCGACGACATTCGGACCCCCCCGGACGGGACGGTTGCGACAGTTGGCGACTCCGCTGGGGACATTCGAGAGTCGAGCTACATAACTAAGTTCGATAAGTTTTTCTAAATTTCTATTACGTGTTGGGTGTTTACGCTATTATTTGCGCAATTATATTTTCGCAATTAAATTCTGCATTCATGCATAAAAGCTCTATGCCCGGGCTATCCCTTTAGAAAATTGAAAGGAGTACCGTGATATCCACAGTAGTGGTAGTCGCGCAAAACTTTCTAACCAAGTTGAACTCGGATCCGAGGATGATCTCGAGGTATCCAGCCAGTTTGAAAGGGCTACGGCAAGATACAACTTGGGAGCCAAATCCCTATAAATTCCTCTGCCAGCATATAGTAAGCATAGAAGCCTCCCTAAACAGTCCAAAATAATCCCAAATGCCACCCTACAACCAAGTCATTACGCCTCCCGAAGCCATAGGTGTACCTAATTAGGATGACATTCTTTCTATCATATAAATGCATGTTTGTTATTGATATGATATGTTATGTTCTGTCTTTTACTTAACTGGCGTGAAAGGTTTTTTAAAAACCCATATCTTTATATTTTCCTTAAAACTTTCATTCAATAATTCAAAATTGGTCACACAAATATTTTTGCAAAACATATACACCCCTCAAAATCGTATTTGCATTCATGCATCATTGCATTTTTTGCATAAGCATCATGCATACGTATAAAGAACAGAATAAATTTAACAATGTTAAGAAAAAATCAGGTTTTCTTAAAATTGCTCCTCCACAAGGAAAATCAAATCCTTAAGTACTCGACAAGATCCGAGGCTCAGTTTGTCATGGAGGCATTTCAGAAGGATTTAAATGACATCAAGAGAAGAGTGATTGGGCTTGAAGAAGTGAAAGAGGATGTTAGCACAATTTTGAGGATTCTGTCAAAAATTGAGAGGACAATGGAAGCGAAAAATGGAGATGCGCCATTTGGCGAAGAAATTTTATACCAACCGCACAACAAAGTAACGTCAAATGATAAGACTCCACTCCTGCTCTCAAAGAATGTGCATGATGCAGAACAATCAAAATGTGACAATCTGCGAAGATCAGAAAGGCTTGAAGAACGTGTGATCTGCATCGGACAAGGGAAGTTAGAGAATCACGAAATGGATGAGAGGGCAAACCAAAGGGTACGAAATAAAGGAAAACTACTGTCAACCCAGGTGGAAGCAGAAGAGAATATCTGGAAGTGTCACTTTCAAAAGAATCATGCTCTTTCTTATGTTGCAACAACCACACCAATATTGCGACCTCTGAACTTCGTGACACCAGCAAATCAAATCCCACCACCGGTACCACAACAAGGTGTTAACCGAGATGTCACTATGCCAAGGAAAGCAAAAAGGGTATTTGATCCAATCCCAATCACGTATACCGAACTCTTCCCTCAGTTACTCCATGAACGACTAATCGCTCCTATTCCGGGTGAGGCTCTACGACCTCCATATCCAAGATGGTATAGGTTCGATAAGCAATGTGATTACCATTCCGGAGTCCAAGGGCACTCTGTGGAAAATTGTAACGCTCTGAAGATAAGGATTCAAGAGATGGTAAAAGCTGGTTGGTTGAAGTTCGAAGAAGAGCCAAAACGCCCAGACGTCAACAGGGATTCACTGCCAACACATGAGAATTAGTGGGCGTACTACAAGGCAAAACTCGATTATGATGATGTCGAGTCTACCAAAGTAAATAAAATATCGAGATCATTTGCCATAATAAAATATGTATCACTTTTGCTTTCGTCGTCATGAATAAAAGATCTTTCATGTTTCGACCTTTTCGGAGCATTGCGTGACCATTATCAATCTTAATTTGAGAGTTCCCATCAATGGTTTTTTTTATCAAAATAACGAATGCCACTACAGGTCCTTTTTAAAAACGGATTTATCTTTTAAAAAAATGGAAGCCATCCAAAGCCGACTTTATTTTCGAAGTTAAGCCATGAGAGTGCCATGATAAGCAATTATGAGCACCCCACTGGTGCTGAGATTTGGGACACCCCACTGGTGTTGAGTGATTATAAACACCCTGCCACTGTCAATATTTTGAGCACCCACTGGTGTTGAGGGTGTGCATGATCAACTAAAATCAAGAAACAAACACCCTACTAGCGTTCATAAATTACGTGGGCTAATAGTAGAAAGATGTAATGAGCATACGACATCATGCTACTTGTAGAATCTCGTCACCACTACATTTGACTTTCGCCAACAAATTGAGACTCAGCTTACATGAACTCAAATAGCCAAATCTCGACGTACAAGGGACACAACATTACAGACATGAATCTCTCACAATATTTCGTGACAAGAAGACCGGGAAGTTCAGGGATCTCATTTATCAAAACCCAAGAATCACTTGAGTGAAGCACTCATCTATACAAACAAGCACATGGCATCGAAATCCTCACTTCTACAAAAAGAATAGCCAATTCAACCTAGCTAACGAGAAGCGACACCCACACGATCAATCATCAAAACAGACTCTCGTTCCTTTCACTACTCGTCCCACCGAAGACAAATAACAGATCAAGGAAGAAATAAGCATAGATGGGGGGCATAACAAAATCAAGTAAGTCCAACACGAAAAAAACAAACAAACAAAAAACAAAAAAAAAAAACAAAAAAAAGAAGGAAAAAAGAACAAAAAAGAAAAAAATAAAAAAGAAGAAGAAAAATGTTGTGGGACTTACAAATTAGGTGCCCCTAATTAAGCATTTGAAGTATCAACCCCATGCATCAAGTCAAGGTCTTACAAGGAAAATATAATGACCTCAAGCCAAGACCTTCCATGATAAGAAAGCCTTTTCGGCCAAAATCACTTCGTCCCAGATACTCATCATTTTGAGAGCAAGTCAGAAGCTGAAGCTCCACCACAACCCACATTTAGAGGTCAAACAAAAACCTTGACAAGTCCATAACCAGATTACATTCGCAAAAACTTCAAAACCACGACTCTTGAAACCATAATCTCAAAGACAGGGGGCAAAGCCAGCCAAACACCACATTCCCTCAAATATGCCCAAGACTGGCGACATTTTCAAACAAATCTTCACCGAAAAAAGACCGGGATAGTAGTGGTTCTCAACCCATCATGTCAATCTCATACAGTGGGGGCAAAACCAGAATCCCTCTACAAGAAGTCTTAGGGGTGATATCAAAATATGACTTATCTGTCACCCATCTGAATAAACCACACTTCAAGAAGACGCCTACCATCAAAGTCATATTGGACTAAAGCCCTTTCATTGGAGATCAAGACCGTCTACGACAATGCCATATGGAAGTCTCCTAAATCAATTACGTCAAGGGATTCCATATTGAGTAAATCTTCACAAGGAACGCAGTTGGGATCCTGTTGGCCACCAACATAAAAGGGGACATCTCAAGGTGACCAGAATCTTAATGGTAGCTGAAGTATCGTACACTCAAATCACCTATAGGAATGAGTGTTGAGCGAAATCCAAAGCGGGAGTGAGAGCGATCAAAATCAAAAGCAAGAGTGAGAGCGAGGGCTTACTGATATTCTCATGGTTTGGCTTACATTTCTCTTAGAAAACCAAATTTGGCAATATGACAACTACCACACAAAAATGGTTTTCTCCAGTTTACACACACTTCTCGAAACCAAAATCTTGACATGGCTTTCAATTTTTAATTCTCTAACAAACGTTTTTCAAACATTTTTGCTTTCGTCTTAAGTACAGATTGATATAGTCACTCTTTGTTCCGGAGAATAGAAAGTGGGCAACAGATCTTTGGAGGCAAAACTGGTACACCATGAAATAAGGGGAAGTCTGAGTACCCAAGAATCAAATTAATCAACTTTCACTCATGAGTTGACGAGAAAATCTCCCGAGAACATTCATATCTCATCAAGCCAACCAGCCAATCAACTGCACAGCAAGAAGGAAGTCCTACTATACTGCACATTCCAAGAGATACACAACTTTAAAGCATGAGGGTCCAAGCGTGACCGACAAGAAGAATGAAGCAATATACACCATCAGTATACCCTCATACAATACCACCACGAAGATAAGCTTCAAGCAAGCAAGCTGAAAATCTCTCCAACATAAGGAGAACCAAAGATTAAGTCGATCAAAAGGAAATGACAATCCCTGGAGGATGAGCAATTTAAAGGAACCCCGGGTTAAAATGCAAAACAAAAACCAAACAAAACGACATATTCTCATAACAGTTGCCAAATGCATCATATCATTTTTTTTTACTAAGTATTCATGACTTCATTAGCATGACACATCACAAAATCATTCTCAAAATCATTTTGATACTCCTTAAACAACATCATATGTTAAAATGGGTCATGCATTTATTGCCAGCAATTCCCAAAATAACTCATACATTTAATTGGATTTCCGATGTTTGTAAAAAGGAATCGCTACAAGATACAACAACTACATTCACATGAATTTTTCAAGTCTCATGTTTAGCTTTCACGTGCATTTATGACAAGCCATAACAACGGTTTAGGAACGTCCTAAACAAATACCATGAACATACGATATCGGTGCTGGCGAACAATCGTGAGCCCTCTAATAGACGTGTTCCGTCGACTATCACGGACATTACAAAAACTACCTAGTCAATTTGTTTCGTCGACTATCACGAGCAAATTAGATAATCTTTGTGATGTGCTCCGTCGACTATCACGGACAATTCAAAAATTACCTAGTCAATTTGTTTCGTCGACTATCACGAACAAATTGGATCCCCTGCTAAGATTGTTCCGTCGACTATCACGGGCAAGGTAGAAATCCTAGACAATTTGTTTCGTCGACTATCACGAGCAAATTAGACCATCTTTTTAAATTGTTCCGTCGACTATCACGGACAATTCAAAAATTACCTAGTCAATTTGTTTCGTCGACTATCACGAACAAATTGGACCCCCTGCTAAATTCGTTCCGTCGACTATCACGGGCAATTTAGAAAACCTAGTCAATTTGCTTCGTCGACTATCACAAGCAAATTAAAACCCTCATGCTAAACTGGTTTCGTCGACTATCACGGGCAATTTAGATAACTAAGTAAATTTGCTTCGTCGGCTTTCACGAGCAAATGAGATCCCTCCTTCTAAAACTTGTTTCGTCAACTATCACGGACAATGCAGAAAACCTAACCCCGCTCCGCATACCGCGAGGGGGCAACCAAAATCCCAAGTCTGCTCTACCGCCATGGGAATAAATCTACACCCACTCTGCATATCGCAAGCGGGCAACCAAATTCCAAAGTCTTCCCTATAGTCATAGGAACAAGTCAACATCTCACATAGCTACAACGCACGGGAGCTGAGGAGCGCCCCTACCATTCAATACCTCACGGGAGCTGAGGAGCACCCCTACCAATCAATACCTCACGGGAGCTGAGGAGCGCCCCAACCATTTAATACCTCACGGGAGCTGAGGAGCACCCCTACCAATCAATACCTCACGGGAGCTGAGGAGCGCCCCTACCATTTAATACCTCACGGGAGCTGAGGAGCGCCCCAACCATTCAAAACCTCACAGGAGCTGGCGAGCCCCTCTATCAGTCAACAACGCACGGGAGCTGAGGAGCGCCCCAACCAATCAAAACCTCACAGGAGCTGGCGAGCCCCTCTATCAGTCAACAACGCACGGGAGCTGAGGAGCGCCCCAACCAATCAAAACCTCACAGGAGCTGGCGAGCCCCTCTATCAGTCAACAACGCACGGGAGCTGAGGAGCGCCCCAACCATTCAAAACCTCACGGGAGCTGAGGAGCGCCCCTACCATTCAATACCTCATGGGAGCTGAGGAGCGCCCCAACCATTTAATACCTCACAGGAGCTGGCGAGCCCCTCTATCAGTCAACAACGCATGGGAGCTGAGGAGCGCCCCAACCATTTAATACCTCATAGGAGCTGGCGAGCCCCTCTACAAGTCAACAACGCACGGGAGCTGGCGAGCCCCTCTATCAGTCAACAACGCATGGGAGCTGAGGAGCGCCCCAACCATTTAATACCTCATAGGAGCTGGCGAGCCCCTCTATCAGTCAACAACGCATGGGAGCTGAGGAGCGCCCCAACCATTCAAAACCTCACAGGAGCTGGCGAGCCCCTCTATCAGTCAACAACGCATGGGAGCTGAGGAGCGCCCCAACCAATCAAAACCTCACAGGAGCTGGCGAGCCCCTCTATCAGTCAACAACGCATGGGAGCTGAGGAGCACCCCTACCAAATCAATACCTCATGGGAGCTGAGGAGCACCCCTACCAAATCAATACCTCATGGGAGCTGAGGAGCGCCCCAACCAATCAATACCTCATAGGAGCTGGCGAGCCCCTCTATCAGTCAACAACGCATGGGAGCTGAGGAGCACCCCTACCAAATCAATACCTCATGGGAGCTGAGGAGCGCCCCTACTATTTAATACCTCATGGGAGCTGAGGAGCGCCCCTACTATTTAATACCTCATGGGAGCTGAGGAGCACCCCTACTATTTAATACCTCACGGGAGCTGAGGAGCGCCCCTACTATTTAATACCTCACGGGAGCTGAGGAGCACCCCTACCAAATCAATACCTCATGGGAGCTGAGGAGCACCCCTACCAAATCAATACCTCATGGGAGCTGAGGAGCGCCCCAACCAATCAATACCTCATAGGAGCTGGCGAGCCCCTCTATCAGTCAACAACGCATGGGAGCTGAGGAGCACCCCTACCAAATCAATACCTCACGGGAGCTGAGGAGCGCCCCTACTATTTAATACCTCATGGGAGCTGAGGAGCG